GTGGAGTGTAACCACCGATTGATAGCACTGTGTATTAATTTGCTGTCAGGTTGAAACGAAAAGAAAGTTCGTTGTCACAAGTCAAGAGCAATCCCCGAAAACGAAATCATATTTAATATGCGAATGCAGCCCTGAAGGACACGCATCCCATGCCACACAAACACACACAAAACACACATTCCCAATTCAACATTCCACAATAAAGTGGAAAAGGTGAAATCAATATTTGATGGCTTTGGGTAGAGGATTTGAGGTGGTCTGGGGCTACGGAGGATAAGCCATGCTAATTGGAGAGCTCTTTAAATCGATTGAGTGACACACGACTCACACAAACACACACAAGACACTCATGCCACATGCCACATTCCGCATTCAACGCAAATGGAAACCTACATATGCCAAAAAGCTAATCAATTGGAAATCCCTAGGGGTAACCTGTCCTGTCCTGGCATTTGTATCTTTTCGAGTTATTGTTTTACGAATATTCAAAATGTGTTTCTTCAATTGGCTTCCTTCTGCTATTTCTAAGAAACATTTCCATTTCCCTTTTGGAAACACTGATGACTGGATCTGACCATAAAGTGGTTGCTTCTTCCGCTTCATTCATTCATTCCTTCATGCCTTCTTCTTTGTCTCTCTTTCGCTCTCTGTCTCTCTTTCTGTGTGTGTACGTTTTTGTGCCGCTTTCGCCTTTTTTGGTCAAACGTCGAATGACGGGACGGACCGATCGACGACAAATTCGTTTCATGCCCAAAGTCGGCGACAAAGCTTGCCAAGCCAAAAAAAAAAAAAAAAAAAAGCATTACCTATTTTGGGCCAATGGCTAATTTTACATATTTTGTATTTGTATATTTATTTATTTATTGTTTCTATGCCGTGGCACCTTGCCACTGCCACCCTGATGTTGGGGGAGCAAAAGTGGTTTGGTTTTGCTTTTCTTATTCCAGGAAATCTCAGCTCGTAATTGGTTTGGCATTTGTATTTCACTTGAAGAATAACTAATCCTCTTATTTGTGGCGCCACCATCTCCACCTGCTAGAAACACTTGATTCAAACATTCAAACGAAAGGCAATCGAAACGTAACAATGCACGCCCTTACCCTTACCATATTGTATCGCTGGTAATGGAGATTCTTCCTCCGTATCCCCTACCCCACCAGTAATTGTATTTGCTGCTCTTGACATTTGTTGCACTTCGTGGAAGAGTTTTATGTATTAATTTTCTTGGGAAAGCGCTCTGTATGCAGTTTATTCATTGGAAAATTAGCAAAATATAAAAAATATTAAACCTTTGTGCACCTTTTTTTGAAAAAAAATTACAGAAATAGTATTTCAGTTTTCATTTAAAAGTGCAATTTGATTAGAGGATAGTTTCCAGGAATCACGGCACCAGCAGCATTTTAAATAGCAAAGGTACATATCTGGTATCCCAGGGTTTCCAGAGTATTGCAGATGGCAGATACGAGTACCTGCCATATTCTGAGAAACAAAACCATCCTGGATGGTGGATGCCACCCACTCGATGCTGTGATGTGTGGGTGTACATTTTCCTTTGAGACAGGGACTGCCTGCCACTGGTATTCAGTGGCACCTATTTATAGCGCAGCCTTTTCAGTCATTTGCATTTGCCCCACACATTCCCCAAAGGCAATGCAAAGGATTTGGTGGCGTTGGGGTGGCGGCTAAAATGAATGAGAGGCATGCCCAGGCACGTTACTCCGCCCACTCGAGGGTGCCGAGCTCTAGGACTCCTTCTGGAGTTTCCTTCAGCAGATCTGAGCAGAGCCCACGCGACTTTTCATTCAACTTTCCCGCACAAGCTCAAACACATACAGACACCGACACAGACTTTGACCCTCAAGGCAGCCAACACAGGAGAAAAAACAACAGGAACAGCAACAGCAAGCGTGGGGGAAGCGTAATGTCGTGCCACCTGCCACACCGCCCACCTGTGCCCACCCCCGTCGTTCCAGTGATTGTTCCTGTTGCCATGTGGCCCGGACATTCGTCAATTAAATTTCTATATATACACAATACAATATATGTACGTACATCCATCGTAGAAAATGGCGAAGCGGTCCAGGAGTCCACATGACAGCGTCAGATTCTGATTATTGAGGATTTATCATTGCCTCCGTGCTCGAACATATTCGCATCTCTATCGCTGTATCGATGTATCTCTGACATTCAGCCAGTCCTCCTCCCTCCGTAGAATTGAATGTGTGGGACAGCCATAGAGATAGCCGGCCATAAGCGTACGAGGGGAAATGTGGATTGGGCTGACCGTGAAATGTTGACAGGAAAAAGCCCGATTGCAGCCATTCCCTGGAATAGCACACAGAAGCCTACCACAAACTTCACCAAGTTAGCCGCAGGGAGAGTGGCGAAATATTTTTCACAGATATTTTCCGTACATTTCTCACACATGGATAAATCTGAGTGGCCCTCGGTTACCTTCTGTCGCACTTTCTTGTTGGTTTTTTTTTTTTTTGGTATTTTCTCTGCTGTCACTTATTGGTTTTCGGTTACAGGCAGCCCGGTCAATGCAGCGTCCCCGTGGTGTGGCAGTGGAAGTTTTTAACTCAATTATTACTCATAATTCCCTGTGGCACGTTAACAGCAATTGCAGCTCCTTTCATTCATTTCATTCATTTATATTCATCTTTCGGGGCACACTCACAATTGAGGAATGGGAACCCATACGGTGTTGGCTATGTAAATTGGAAACCGAAGAAGAAGTATGGGGGAAGGGAATACTTTCCCATTCAGAAAGAGCGAATGAATGCATTTTTGTTCGCACTGCAATGGAATGGAATGGAATGCCAGTGCCCCAGCCATTGCCTACTTTCAAGCGCCACCTTTAAGGGCAAACAAGTGCCGGCCCGCTGACACGACCCGTCCCGGTCCCGGTCCCGGTCCCACAGGTGGGGCAAGTCCAAGTGAAAGTATACACAAAAAGCAAACGCCATGGTGGGTCAGGGGGCAGCCACAAAGCATGGAAAAGTAACAAAAGAAAACCCGTAAATGTGTGTGTGCATGTGTTTTCTTTATGTGTGTGTGTGTGCCTGCACTTGCAACGATGAAGCCAACCAAGTGTATTTTTCAGTATGTCGAGTATATTTCTGGAATTGTTCTGGAACTATTCCGAGAGATTGAGAGAGAGAGAGAACACTGCCTTACCTACTGTTGACTATGCCTTGGAGTGCGACATTGTAAAAGATGCTGGCAATTAGAGCTTTTACGGGAATTTATTGACCCACCGAGAGAGAGAGAGAGAGAGAGAGACGACGACAACGTGCCAGTATTGTAAAATACTTTGTAGTAGCAAAAAGCTGCAACTGCAACTGCAACAAACTAGCAACGAAACGATGGAGAACTTTAATTAAATTTTCCCATGAACATGAAATTGTTTGCCTTCACTTTTGCCACGAACACAAAAACACGGACACGCACATGCAACTAGCACACAAAACACACACAAATACACACAATTTCCCTTTTCCTTTCTCCGGTTTGCGTGTGTGATTTTGCGTTTAATTAAAGTGTCCACAAATGCATACCATACCAGCACTAGGAGTATAGCCGGCGATACTTAGATACAACCATTATGCAGGTCAGGCTTGTGTCAGACCCATACCGTTCTATGCAGGATAATCTCCAGGATATTCGAATATTTCTGAATAGTTTTCTATTTAGTTATGAAATTAAAGAGCCGCACAACTATCCATATTAATGTCTGTGTATCTTGAGGCTTCGTTCCGCTTTTTACCTCTAAAGAGTCTCAACGCAGGCCGCTTTGGCTCTTGTTGATTTTGGGTTTGCCCTGCTTTTCCGCTGCGCCTCACACACTCGCTAAACAATTCTGCAACGTTGGGGCACTGGGCCGCTGACCTTAATCTGGCTGGCTGTGGCTGTGGCTGTGGCTGCCGCAGCACTGTGGACTCTGCCTCTGGGCGGTGTAGAGTGTAGGGGCGGGGGCGGGGGCAGGGGCAGGGGCCAATAAACCAAATGATGATGACACGGATACACAGAAAATGCAAAAAAACAGACGGACGGACAGATGGCGGGACGGATGGTTTCCTCTTCCTTTGCTGCCGCGAGAGATGAGACTGACGACTGGCGAAGGGAAAGGGAAAGGAGGATCCAATGCTGTTTGTAGTACCTTTGAGTGGAGCCAAGTAGTCATTCATTCAGTTCCCCTACCCGTCGCTGCAATCGGCAATGTGCAATCGAAAACGACACACAAAAAAGAAAGAAAAAAAAAAGTGCCGCAATGAAATTTGTTTCCAAAAAGTGGGTGAAGGTCTCCTCTCTGACTGACTCTCTCTCTCTCTCTCTCTGAGTGTCGCATTTTTCTTTTAGTTGCTGCTGCTGCAGTCCACAACTTAATCATGGGGCATGTGGCACGCAACTCTAGCATCTCTGGCGCCGTCTCTGCCACTGGCACTGTCTTTAGTTCCTGGTAATGGGGCTCGTGTCGGTAACTAAATGTAGGAGCTTTTCCACTGATTTTCCATGATGTTTGTTTGCACAAAGGCAAGCCCAGGCCTTGCTCATCGCTTGAAGCTCGGTCTGTGGTTTTCATTCTGATGGGTTTTTCCATGGAAAAGGCACACACATTGCCCTGCTCCTGCTCCTTCTTTCACCGTTGCGCAACACTTCCCACACGTTGTGCAACACTTTGAAATTCATGCGAAATGCGAAAACAGTCGCCAGGCCGGCCACACGTGTGTGAGGATTTCAGATTCAGGATTAGGGCGAAAGTGCAAGGAAAATGCATGTGAATGATATTCCATGGAATTTCCCTGCAATGGGGGGGTTTCAGCAACAGTTGGCAAAGTTCTGTGAAAGGGATCCAAATTGGATTTCCCATGAAAATACTCAATGGAAGGGAAGGTTTCCGTTGGAATTAGTTGGCACGCGCAGAACTCCTAGATCCATATATTGTTTGAACCTTCAACTAAATTCTGGGTTTTGCTTTTGTTTTGGTTTCCTTGCAGGGTGGCTATCCGGCGCGGCTGAAGAAAGTGCTGATTGTGACGGCGCCGCTGTGGTTCAAGGCACCCTTTAAGATCCTGCGCCTGTTCGTGCGCGAGAAGCTGCGCGAGCGGGTGTTCACTGTATCGGTGCCGCAGTTAGGCCTGCACGTGCCGCGCAAGGCGCTGCCCCTGCATCTGGGCGGCACGCTGGAGATCGATCACGCCACATGGTTGCTGAATTGCCGCCAATCGATGACGAATCGTGAGGACGAACTGCTTGCCAATATCACAGTGGGTGTCACCGGTGTCACAGGTGTGGCAGCTGTGGCAGCAACCACCAATGGCAGTGGCAGTGGCACTGGAGGTGGCAGTGGAAATGCTGCTGCAACCATCATAAGTGCCGTCCATCAGCTGGCGGACAACAACACCACTGTGGTGACTGTCAGCAATGGTGAGGGCAACGATGCCACCGCCATGCTTGTGGCTGGCTCTGGGGGCAGCATAGAGCCCAACGAGAACATCACAATAAATGGCCTGAGTCCCAGTCACCGCGGCGGTGCCACTGGCGGCGGCGGCGGCGGTACATCACCCCTGAAGCTCAACACTAGCGGCGTACCCTTGGACGGCAATGTGCCAGAAACCACCACAGGAGCCACAACAAACAGCAGCACAGGAGCAGCCGTGGCTGTGGGAGCGGTACGGGCCACAGGCGGACCGGGTGCTGGAGCCACCAACGGCGGAGAGTTCTGGTCGGAGAATCCACCCAGCAGCGCCTCGTCGGGCTTCAGCGATGACGACAGTCTGGCCGGGCAGGAGGGCGACCCCAAGCCCATCGAGCAGATTGTCCAGATGGTGAAGCAGCGGGGACGCCATGGGCTCGTCAAGGAGTATGCGGACATTAGGAACCGGACGCCCGATGGCACCTTTCTGCATGCGCGGTGAGTGACGAACGATCTACTGGCCTGAACTGCATTTCTAACCATTGATTATTTATTTACAGAATGCGTGCAAACCTGACCAAAAACCGATACACAGATGTCCTCTGCTTCGATCACAGTCGAGTGGTGTTGGCACACGAGGATGGCGGCGAGGAGCTGTCCGATTACATAAATGCGAATTTCGTCGATGGCTACAAACAGAAGAATGCATATATTTCAACTCAAGGTGCGTATTAAATCTCCAGCTATGGCTGTGTAGGCTCTAATGTCAATGCAATTGCATCACTCTTTCGGGCAGGTCCATTACCAAAGACATCCCATGACTTTTGGCGCATGATCTGGGAGCAACATTGTTTAGTTATAGTGATGACAACGCGCGTGATGGAGCGCGGACGTGTGAAATGCGGCCAATACTGGGAGCCGACTGAAGATAGTTCCTTAGAGTATGGCGACTTCCATGTGCGAACACTTAGCGTTGAGTGCAACGAGGACTATACGGTTGCCTCGTTAGAATTGAGAAACATAAAGGTACGGAGCAGGTTGCATGCCACTACATTTGTTGCCATCTATATTCGTTTGTCTCTCTTTTTTTTCAGACTGACGAAATTCGCAATGTGTCACATTGGCAGTTCACCAGTTGGCCGGATTACGGCGTTCCCAGCTCAGCCATGGCCATGCTGAACTTCCTCCAGAAGGTGCGCGACAAGCAGGCGGAGCTCGTCGATGCTTTGGGCGACACCTGGGCGGGACATGCGCGAGGTCCACCAATTGTGGTGCACTGCAGTGCTGGCATCGGGCGTACAGGTAAGTGTCTATCAGATTATCGTTGAATCGTATCTTCATTTGGTATTGTTTTGCCTCGCAGGAACATTCATCACTTTGGACATTTGCATATCGCGTCTGGAGGATGTGGGCACGGCGGATATACGCGGCACCGTGGAGAAGATACGCTCACAGCGCGCCTACTCCATCCAAATGCCCGATCAGTATGTATTCTGCCATCTGGCCCTCATCGAGTATGCCTACTCGCGCGGCATGCTCCAGACGGTCGATCTGGCAGGCTTCGATGAGCGCGAACCCGACTCGGAATAGAGGAGCGGCAATTAGCAAATATAAGTGGAGGAACCTAAATAAACAACGGAACGATACGCAACACAAATTGTATACAGATTAAATTTATGTTTCTATTTTTCAAAATTGAAATTGTAATTAGTTTTTCGTACTTCGATGTTTGTCCTGAAAATATGTGAAAATAGGAGAAAGAAATGGGAGGGAAAGCGAGAAGAGAGGAAGACCGAAAGACCGGCAGAGGAGTAGGCGAAGAGTAGAGTAACCAATTTACGTTAATGGACTATTTTTTTTTATTATTATTATTATTATTATTATTATTATTCTAATTATTATTATTATGACGTACCAATGCTATAGCCGATGTATAGCGAAAACACACACACATTTATAAATATATACATACATTATTTAAATTAAATTAAAACTAAATGAAAATGAAACAACAAATAGCTAAAAATAAAGAAGAAACAATTAAAAAATAAAAACAAACGAAACATCAACATTAGCAAACGTAACAGATAAAAACAAACCAAGCAAATGAATCCAACAGGAAAGATAAATGCGAGAAGAGGAAGTGATGAGATGCGAGTGCAGAGAAGAGGAGAAGGCATGAGAGAGTACAACGAAGGCAAAGGATGCTAGAGCAAGCGTGTAAATCCGTTGATCAGCCACCAAGAAAAGCAAAACCGTCCGGAGCAAAAGGGCAAACGGAAACTGATGTGGAAACGGAGCGGAAACTAATACGAAAACGAATACAAAAGAGCGTAAACCATGTGTTTTTTGTTTGTGCATTTCTTTATGCAAAATGCAAAATTTCCTACAATCAACTATGAAGCTGAGGCCCCTGCCCAAAAAGGAGCAGCAGCATATTACTTATATATATATAGTATACGGCTGTATATCTATATTTAAAGCATATAGAAATATACCATATATACATACATACCACTTATAGAGAAAGAGAATTAGAGCAGATTTAAGCATTGTTGTTCAATGTTGTTGCATACCCAAGACAAAAGAAAACAGGAGGCAAACGCAATCCTGCTCCTACAGATGTTGCCACCTCCCGCCCCGACGCCCCACAGCTCTCTACACCCATCCTCCCCCTGTCCATACCCAAAAGCTGTTAAATGTTTATTCTGTTTTTTTACTTAACATTTATTATTTTTTAAAACAAAATATTTATATAGATATATAGAGCAAAAAAAAGGAACAATTGCAAGTAAAATTTGCAAATTGCAGACGAGTTTGTAGTGAATTTTACTAAACAATACAATTTACCAACTAAAGAAACCACAAAACACGAAGAGAGAATAGCAAAGATGAAGAAAACACGTTTCGCATATGAAGAAAAGAGCAGAAAATATTTAATATAACGAATTTTGCCTTCTTTCCTATGCTTTTCATATGCCAAGCGAATCCGAGATCCGTAATCTGAATCTGAATCCGAAAAATCTAACGCGGAGATGGATACAGATGCGCATGCGAAAGAATATTGAAATAAACGGAAAGGAAACCCTAAAAAAAACATATTTTGTATTACTTTTTTAAATAACAAACAAAACAAAAAACAACAGATCAAGAAAATGGATATCTACATATATAATAATAATAATATGAATATTGGTTGTTGTGAGTGTAGCCGAAACCAAAATCCAACTTGAATGGCAGCTTTCTTGAACTCAAACAAAATAAAGAAAATTCAAAATGGAAATATTAATGTGTAATATTGTGTGTAAAGGCATTTTCTCGGTGCAAAAAGTATTAAAAAATATTTACATAGAATATAGATACATATTTATATACAACATAAATCGATTGAGAGGACATTGCCTGAGATGGAGGCAACTGTTTTTTTTTTCATCCCAATATGTGTATTATATGCAGTATTTTTTTGTGCGAATTTAAACAAAATTGCAGTATACATATAAAGGTATGCAGACGTAAACTTTGTTGGCTGCACTATGCCTATCCCACACACAGAGACACAAACACACCAGTTCATAAACACACTCATAAAACACATGTATATCATTAGAATTGTAAAAGCTGTGATCAAACCCCGAACAAAATTATGAATGGAAATGCGAGCAGAATGAAGATACAGATAGAAACCGAAATTAATACAAAAGATTCTCCTCATCAACACACACACACACAGCCAGGCAGACAGACAGACAAGCAGACATACCGATAGAACATAGAATTCCAGTACATACGAGTATATGAAAGTTAATATTATGTATAACAAAAAAAAAAGATAGTATCTGCATATGTACTTTACTCACCACAGAACAACTTTCAATTCTTTCAAAGGCCTTTTCCGAGGGAAACAAAATACATACATACTACTCGTAACCGTAACCGTAACCGTAACCGTAACAGTAACCGCAACTCCCCCCAAAAAGAAGCAAGTACGATGAATGGTACATGGAATGAATATGCTATGAATATTCCGAATATCCCTGCCCCAATTGATGAATGCTATATTTTTATAATGCTAGAGACAGGAAAAACAACCCTATACATATACATATATTGCATAATCCAAAAACCAGAGAAGAGAACACTACTATGTGCATGCATATGTACATACATGTAGTACATATGTAGATGTAGATGTGAACACGTACTCGTAGATAAGTACTTCCACCATATGTGTATTTTTTTGTAGGAGAAGGTCTCCCGAGAAGTCGGTGGACGCAGGAATGAATTTATTTAAAATGTATCTATGTATCTAATGGATATTTACACATATATGTACTTAATGTACTGTACTGTACCGTACTGTATGTGAAATGTAAAATGAAAATTAGCAAAATTTCTTCAAGTGTAATAATGTAAAATGTAGCTAGAGTTACGAAAAAGCCCTTGTTTTCCGTTCGATATTGATTACCTTAGCTTAGTGTACGCGCAACCACCCACCCCCCACCTCTGTTCTAGTACTTACTCCCGATGCATGCTTTCTGAAAGCTTTTGCTGCACACACACACTGTCACATAAACACACAAGGACATACGAAACCAGATCGATTGATCCAGCCCACCCTTAATCAAATCTTAAAGAGATCTATTATCCATTAGCATCTATCTACCCACTACCTTTATTCTCTCTGCCTCTCTGCCGCCACCCTTCCAACACATTGAATACTTGCCCAAATATGCAACACTATGGCTACGGATAGGATACTTACTAGCCGAAGACTATTAACTTCCATTAATGCCCCAGCTCAAGACTTACTCGATACACTGTACATACGAACGCGCGGGGCAGCAGCAAACCAAATCGCAAAAGATCCACATACTCGTTTACCCACAACAGACAAACAAAAACACACACAAGGAACTCCTAGCCTAGAGAAATGGTCGCATAATATTTAAGGGCATAGGCATACGTATCTATGCCACCATTTCAAAACAAGAAACCAAAATGAAAATTGATGTATCTGCAAATTGCATTTTGCAACAAAAAAAAAAAAAAAACAAAACAAAACCAAAAGAAAATTGTGGATAAAATATATAGAAAAAGAAGCCAATTTGTTTGATTTATCTAGGGGCACGGTTGAAGATGATCGTCTACAACGATCGGATGCTGTACAGTCGTGCTGTAATGTTCGTTCTCATTCAGCACAAGGGAAATCGGAGGTGCTTTTCTTGATGGGTTCAAGGGATGCTTGATTACTTCTCTCGATTACCAGGACACATATCAGATCCTGATTCGCCATCAAATGTAATTACGGCGGTGAGTTCTCGAACTGATCTAATTTAGTTTAAGAAATTCCCCGTTGTGGAACAACTTTGGATAAATAGCAGCAAAATGCAGCCACAATGATTTGTAGACCATCATAAAAAGCCAACACGGATACACTGTTGAAGTAAAAGGCTCACATTTATTGGTTTATAATCATAGTTAATTTGTTTATAAATACACGCACATTAATAATAATAATAATTCATTAAAACACATTCGTCGTTTATCAATAAGTAGTTCAAAAAGCGTTTCTCTTTCTCAGCTTCTGCTGCTGCCTCCGTCTCTGTTTATGTATTGCTGTCTCTCTTCAAATCATCTTAGCCAGCAGCTACATATCTCTGTCCATATCTGTTCCTGTCTCTTTCTGTCTCGTTCTCTTTTCATATTCAACTAATGCCAAAAATACATTTAAAGAAATCACTTTTTTGTTAGCTTTTGCTTTTGTATTTTATATTCGATCAATAATAATCATAAAAACTTGTCTCTTTTTGTTTCATTATTTGTTCAATTATTTAGCTAAATTTTGAATGGTTTTTGTATTGAGTTTCTTGTTAAATATACACGTAATAATTAACGGTATTATCGTTAAGTTGTATGCGCTGAAAGAACCAATAAAGCCAAAGCAACGCACTGGACCAATAATCATTCATCTTTGTTTTTTGGCAAAACAGCAGCCAATTCGTGTATAAATGTATGTATAGGCACCCGATTCCGATGTGTGTGTTCTGTCCTGGCCAGAGATCTCCATTCTTCCAGCACGCACACACAAACAGAGGAAAGCGCCTTTACATTATGGGATGGGTTGGGGACTTGGGCTGTGTAAATCTAAAAACAATTTACGTACTTTCTGGGGGAAGTAAAAGGATTAATGGTATATAGTAGATAGTAATAATAACTAACATTCCCATACGCTCCTCAATATCATCATTATCCTCAATCTGTAATGCAAAGCGGGAATGCCACACAACATCTTCTACGGAGTGTAATTGAGTTCTTGAGGAATTAAGGCTAAGGAAATTACAACATTACAAGCTAGTTAAGTATTGGCATAGAATTGCTCTCTTTCTCTCTCTGTATTTCTTGCTGTTTCTGTGTCTCTTTGGGGGAATGCTACTACGTTGGAGTTTTTTTCTGCAAAAGCTTTTGGGGAGGGGGCGGTCGGAAATGTCTCTAGGGGCAAATTCAAGCGTGGGTTTCTTAGGTTCTAGGGTATCTCTGGTTTGTGTATAAATCTTAGGACTAGTGACTGGCGGCGCTGGCGGCAAACCTTTGCTCTTTGCTCAATGAGGTAACTTCAATTCAATTCAGTAAACGGCAAACGAAGGCAAAGGGTCTACGAACTAGGGTGCTTGGTATGCGGTCTGTCGTGCCATGGGATTGGAATTCTGTTCCTACATACATATGTACATATATGTATGCATATGTAAATAACTACAGTACAATAACTAACAGTATAACGAGGCAAGTTATAAAGAATCAAAAAATCAATATAAAACGCTTCGGAATGCGTGAAGGGTAACAATGGGGAAGGGAATGGATGTGGTGTTGGGGGTGTGGAATATCACTCGGGGGGCTCCTCCTCTACTCGATGCCGAACGTATTGGTTTCCTCGACGGCCAGCAGCAATTTCTCGTAGAGTAGCTCCGGTGTGGGGTAGGGCGGCAGGTCCAGCCGATTGAAGCAGGTGTGGGCACGCGGCAGGGCGTTCGGCTTGCCCCACTTCTCGATGCAGAAACGACGCGGCCCCGTGGAGCCGCGCAGGGCGGAGAAGCCCTCGTACGGAATGCTGGAGGTGCCCGTGACGAACTGAAGCAGGCGCAGCCGCTGCTCGTTGCTGAAGCGCTCGATCACCTGCCAGAACCAGACGATCACCTGGTGGTTGTCGTGATAGCCCGATCGGTACTCTGTGTTCAGACGCCAGTCGTTGGTGTCGATTTCGGCGGTGCCGGCAATCACCAGCTCCAGCTCGCGGGCATCGAAGACGGAGACAAGGCGCGAGTCGACCACCTCGTAGAAGCCGCGCACCAGCGACTCCGTTTGCTCCTGGACGCCACGCTCCAGTCGCCACTTGATCATCCGCTCCAGATACTCCTTCTTGTTCTTCTCGTTGACAATCATGTTTTTGCCGCCCGGCTTCAGCTCCCGCTCGACGACGCGCCCCAGCAGCTCCTCGGTGACGCAAAAGGTGAGGCCCAGGTCGATGCCCGTGCCGATGTCATTGTCCCGAATCCACTGCAGCGACTGATGGAACTCGTTGTCCAGCGACTCGAGGTCGCTGAGGGCCACCGGCAGGCGCAACAGAGCCTTGTAGAAGGGCCGGGTGAAGAAGGCATCCAGCAGATACTGGTGAACGAGGGCCAGGCCCAGGACGCGGCCGCTAAAGCGGAACCAGTCGTGGCAGTTGTCGACGAACGCCGACAGCGGTGACACCTGCACCGTGTACGTGTCGTTGGCCGAGTACTCGAACAGGCCGTAGTAGGGGTTGAACAGCTCCCGCGACAGCAGGAAGAAGAACTCACGCGACGGCCCGCCGTAGTCCAGACCCTCCTCAGTGTCCCACAGCACAGCCAGGCGTCCGCGCTGCAGATCCTTCTTATTGGCAGACATTATCCGACGGAAGGCGTCCTCCAGCAGATGGCTGCGACGAATGTGTAATCTGTAAGGAATGTAATCGTTGTTGGATTATTGTACGCTTTTGATTCGTTTTCGGGTTCGGGATACACTTACTTGAGCTTGTGCGGTCCCTGGCCATAGCCCTTGGACTCCAGTTTGCGGTAGAAGCTGCGCAGCTTGGCCTCAAAGTCGCGCCGGAAGGGTGGCGGCGCACGCTGCGGCATCCTCGAGCTGAGCACCGGCGAGCCCTGTGGACTCCGCTCTTCAATAGGAACATAGCTCATGATCTCCTGCTCGAACAGGCTGTAGAAAATGAACAAAAAGTGTGTGAGTTGGGAGTGATAGAGTTGATAATATTTATAGATTGGTGGTGCCATAAATCTAAACCTCTCCCTCGGTGCCGCCTCTCCAAACTGACGTCATACCCCGATGCCACAGTGCCCCATTGCCAGCGGGAAGGTGGTGCCGCGTGGAGGTGATGCAATTGATTGTAAGTGACGCCGCGTTTATGGATGCCACATGTGTACCGGCCACTAAGCCGACAATTGATTAGCAGGAAAGCAAACAATTTCAACCAGGAAAGAGGTGCATCGTTGTCGAAGGAGATAAAGTTTTGTTTTCACTTTTGGGATGGGAACAAGCGGATGTCTGATCAGCTGGATACTTGGATATCCACCAAAATACAACGCATATGTGGCTGGCTAGGCACAGTCTTCGGCTCCGTGCAACTTAAATGAATGACAGAATCACTCCAAAGAATTCATTTAGCAATGAAATGAAATCATGACCAACAAAGGCAATGGGGTCGAAAGAGCAAGTGATTTGTCATAGGAATTAATGTATTCCCCCCCACATTTGCATTTTCATTCCACAATTTCACATGCATTCATCAAGGAGAAGAGCTCCACAGAGCATAGAGAATGGCATGGTGGGTGCACCAACACTGTCCAGCAGGGATGAAGGTTCTTTGTCTGTGATTCAGAATCGGAAATAGAAAAAGGTTCCCTTTCGGAACCACAAAGCGGAAGAATCGATCGATCGATGCAATCGATGACCTTCGCTGGTGGCCACAACAACAGCGTTGGGAGGGGGCCGGCCTGGGGGCTGGGGCTGGTGTTAGCATTTGTGGTTGGGGGCCTTTTGGGCGTTCTATCGATTGGCGTGAACTAATACAGAATGGAATTGGCATGGCATGGCATGGAATGGAATCGAATGGAGTATCTAAGTGTCTATGAGTCTATCTATCTATTCTAAGTAGCCAGTAATCCGTAATTTAAATTGCTGTTTTGTTGCGCCTTTTGCTTCCACTTTGGCCTTCAACTTGAAATTGAAAATTGGCCAATTAATAACGAAAAATTATGACGGTCAACCGCATATCGGCGGGGAGTGGGCATCGTGGGGTGGTGAGCTGTCTAAGGAGGGGTGCCGTGGCCCAATAGTGACAACAGTTTTGCGTGCAATTATCGCCCCTCGGAAATGACTAATTTCCAAATTGGAGCTGCCGCTGCCACAGCCACTGCCACTGCCACTGCTCCGTTCTCGTTCTCTCATTAATGTTTCTCATTTTTGGAAATGGAAACTGATCAATTAATGAGGGGGGCTTATGGCGTATAAATATATCTGCTATAGCCAAAGCCATGGAGCTATGGAGCTATGCTCCCGTGTCAAATTACTTTCAAATTGAATGAAATTTTTACAAATTATTGGCAACTGAAAACAGCAGGAAGCCGAAATTAACGCCAATCTAAATAGAAATTCAAGCCAAGTAGCCAAACAAAAAACGCGTGCGAATTTAAACGCGCAAAAACAGAACGAATAAAAGCCGCACGCGTACATAAACGCGCCCGCGCAGTGCAGTTCGAAAATTGTGTGCGTTTTTAAACGCGCCAAAAAAGAGGTCTGCGAATATTACTGCAAGGTCTGCGGCTGTGGTGTGGTGTCATCATATTCCTTGCACAAAGAACGGCTGCTGGCCATTGTTGTTTGTGGGGGCAGTGTGCGATAGGGCAACCAGTGGGCGGGGGCGTGGGCGTGGGCGGAAGAATATCTACGATATGTCTATAATATCATTAAAATATAACGCAATCGCTGGCTCGTTCGGTCACTGACTTCTTTGTTGGCTCTTTAAATGTGGCGGGGGCGCACAGATGGATATAGTTTATCGACAACCAATGGGTAAGGCAGAGACTTTAAATTAATCTTAAGGAAGGGATGGAAGTGTGGAGAGGGAACAAATTCGTCTGCATTAAATATGAGTAGGATCTCCAAACAAACGTCATATTACAGTCCCTATTCGAATTGTATTGTTGATGTGTATTGTATTCATCAGCAAGTATTTTCTCTCTGGTTTCAGAACAAACATTGGGAATATGATTGCCAGTAAGGGTTTTCAATAATATGTAAACAAATAAAGAATAAAAACAAAAAAAAAAACACTTACGGCTCCCATATGTGGAAGTTGTAGACAAACTTGGAGAAGAGACCCATTTGATGGGTTTTTGGGTTGTAAAACCCAAATGGATTCTCAATTAGCGATGCACTAAATCCACCAAAACCAACAACAACAAAAATAACACACTCGGGGTAAGAACTATACTAAAAACAATTCCCAATTACACAAAATTGTTGTGATATTTGATACTCGCAAGAGGCACAAGAGGCAGGCAGACCGACGACGGCAGGCGACTGTTTTCGGGCTGTGTTTGAATTGCAGCGCAGCCCAGCCCCGACCGACTCTGGACTGTGGGTGGCGTCGATGGGAGTGGGTTTGATAAGCTGATAAGCGAACGGGCGGCGGGGTGGTCTATGATAATGGAGCGAGCCTTAACCCATTTCGGCACTCTGCCACTGGCTGTGAGCCAAGCGAATCAGAAGAGTTATCTGAGGAGTTGCGACAGCAACTAGTACGTTGGGCAGGGGGAATCGTTAAACTACAAGAGCATACAGAGTTGCAACATCCAATCGAACGATTGACCAACCCCTAAAAATCAGAAAAAATAAACCCACGATTAGGAATGCCTCAAAGGAATGCCACAACATTGTAGTGTAATATGAAGAAACCACTTGAATTGGGGACCGATTGAGATCTCAACTGAACTCAACAATTTTCGTGCAACTGGATACTGGATACTATACAACAAAAATGTCTCATAAAATGATTGTAGGGGATTTGTACATCGCATTAATCTTTTGAATGGGCAATTTTATGAAGTTGTCTACTCGGCATTTCCCATTTGCTATTTCATTCCTGTAACCCAAGAGAAGAGTACCTCCTCCTACCCCGGCAGCACTCCAATCCGGTCTGGTCTCTGGGATAGAACGTGGGAATGGAATGGGAGACGAGAGTCCATCGCTATAACTGGATATGCCTCTTCGGATGCAGTGGAGTGGCCCGCCAAAAAGTGCACAGCATACGGAATCGCATACAATGGAGCAGCTAAGCTGATCCATGGGGCAGCAATGGTGAGCAATGGAGGAAAGAAAGAGATCGCCAACAAAATTCGGATGCAACTGACGGACAGGATGTGAATGTTGTTTTGCATGCCCAAGCAGTTATGAGATCCAGATACAAAGCCATACATACAATGCGAAATATTTATGTAAATTCTTGAATCGGTGGGAACATTCCGAAGGGATGGAGGCGGATACTTCTTGGAAGAGTGCTCCTCAATCAGACGGTGGGGAAGGGAGACCTATGTCAATACAAAACATCGTAAAGCTTCTGTTTTTGTTTTTTTGGAATTCTTTGCTTTAAAATATTTATACGAAAACACATTCCCTGGGGTATGTGGGATCGGACTTAAACAGTGTAATTAGAAGGGTTCGCTAGAAACTGCCTTCCATGTGACACTTTATGGCAATAATCGTACCTGATACGATTAACCATTCTTGGGATACGCACAGAACAGTATGGATATCCGCTTGCCGCGACAGGACGAATGCTTCAACTGATTTCGACATTCCATGGACATTCTACGCATTGCAAAAATATTCTGACTGACGGTTGTTAAATATTTATTATTGCAGGCACTATCCACAAGGTTCAATTATGCCAATTTAAGGGCTCTAGTAATGGTCTCTAGAAACTAAACTTGCAACCGCAGAACATTTAATGAGTTAACAGTTAGCCTGCCCCGCCTCCTGTGTGTCCTGCCTTAAAAGCGAATGTTCCTCTAGCTGCTGCAAAAGCTTTGAAAGCTGAATCCAGGAGTCGAAGCTTATGAAAGCTTCAACCGAAAATAGCGAAAAAAAGAAACACGCATCATCACATTACAGAATGGAACGTGGATCATCGTCGCCTTACCTTACCTCATCATACATACACATGTATAATATGCAATACAACGGCGCATTTACACACCTTAAACCTCAAATAATAAGTACGATGAGTAAACCCAAAAGGGGCTTCTAGGGGTTAGGTTTTAGGGTAGGATGGCTGGTACTTACACGGCCCACACGATGTAGGCAGCCTTCGATAGAAAGCCCATTTTGTTGCGCTCGCAAAAGGTTGCAGCACCGAAAAGTTAACCATTCCGTTCACCTGGAATCGAGATCTCCAGGATATATTTTTACCACGGAACGGCGTACACACACACACAAAAAAACAATCTATGGATAACGGTTAATGCACGGCACGGAAAATAAACAGTTTTTGGGGGTGGGATCGTCGGGATCGTTGGCGTGCAGGTCGACGCGCTTTGACAGTTGGAACAGAAATGCTTCTGCCGCCTCGGCTGCTTCTGTGGATTGAAAGCTACGCAAATCGAACGGCGAACGCCGAACGGCACAGCGTAAGGCGAATGGAGCGGAGCGGAAGAGAGAGCGCGAGCCAAAGCAAACGGAACTGAACCGGCGTTGCTTTTAGTTGGGGAGTCATAGATAAAAAAGAGGCACACAGAGACCCCCTAAGCCCAGGCAGAGTTTACTCTCGCTTTCTGTCGGCTCCCGGCAAGAGAGGGGTGGCTTATGGTTATGCTTTATGCTGTTTTGCCGCTGCTGCGTTGCGCTCTTCTGATATGCTCCTTCTGATACGCCTGTCAACTGCGGGAGTGGTGGCACTTTTTCCACCGCCCAACCGAAAAATGTGAAAACCAAAATAAAACTGAAATTAGGCGGCAAACAATATTATTTGATTATTTTTATGTTTTTGTTGTGTTCTGCTTGCAGTGCGAGCGAAACAAGACGATCGATGGCAGCGTTCGCGAGTGCAGCGCAGCCGAAGACAAAGCAGAATCCAAATCTGCCGAACTCTTTGCCGAAGTTCTGACGCCTTCGTTGGCGCAGCGGCAGCAGTGCACGCCACTCTACAGTGGGCCTGGCAGCGAACCACCACTTAAACGGCTAGGAGAGGGAGCCAAGAGAGAGCAAAGATCAGGGGGTAATTATCTAGCGCCACTGTGTTCGCTGCCGTCAGCTGTGGCCTGCATGGCACGACCCGCTCTCCATCTCTTTCTCTCCTGAGTCACCACCCACGAGGAGTGCACCCAACTGAGAGAGCAGAGCAGTGCAGCGGCAGCGGCTGCATGGCAGAGCAGTGGCTAGCCGACTTTGTGTGTATTTGTGTGGCGTGGTCATGGTCAAGGCATGTGAAGTAGAGGGTAAAGGGAAGAGCATGCACTATGCATTCCTTCGCAGACTGCAGTACCTTTTAATTTGCTATGCTTTGGACATGGTTGTGCTTATAATTGTTCGCCGATCATCGCTTTACTCAGCGACCACACCACGCCCTGCATTGAGCACGCCCCAAAACGGAAGCCACAACAGAACAACAACAGAGACAGACAGCCAGACAGACGCATTTCACTGTTCCCTCTGTGTGTGGCTCCAAATTGTATCCAAGTGCACGCAAGCGCGCGATCGCCTCCATCGACAAAAAAACTCAATGAACTGTAAACAAACAACAGAGCAAGGGCCAGCCGCAAGACAGGGAAGGCTACACGAGGGCTTCGTGGGTCGAGCTTTTAGATGCCCTAACCCAAGAATAAGCTGACGGACCGGCGTCTGCTGAGGTTAGCTAGGAAGAGAAACCATGGTCCTCGATAGAGAACAAAGGAATGGCACCTGCTTAAAGTTGAATTCATTTCGTTTTGTGATTTGCAAACATCTTTAGTCAAACGATAATTACGCCCTTAATGGAAGGGTATAACAAAAGGCGAACTCTCCTTCCATGGGTCAAATTTGAAACACAAATACGAGCTTCAACTCCATTTCCATTTCAAACTTCCCGCAACTGCGGGAGCAAATAGCCAATTACTGAAACTTGTCAACGCTTCAGCGAAGTTCAATGATGATGACGACACTGCCTGCCATGCCCTGCCCTGCCCTGCCACACCCCCACCACTTGGACTTGTGTGGAGTCGCAGAGGCAGAGTCTTGGAAGTGGAGGGATACTCGAATTTGTGCCCCGTTTGGCCAATAAATTATGCTTGATTTGGAATTTGGAATTGGGTTAAATTCTGTGTGTGTGTGTGTTTGTGTGTGTGTTGGGTCGACGAACGGGGGATTAGTGTGGATGGGCCTGCCCCTGCCCCGCATTTATGGCGCAGGCGGCAGCAGCTGCTTCAATGTCCGAGTGGGAGGCGTGGCAGTGTCTGAAAGTGGAATGTCCCACCATAAAGCAATCAAGAGATCACAAAATCCTAAACTCCAAACCCCAAAAATATACCAAATTCCTGGCCACACACTTCCCTCCGCCCCGCAGCACACTTCCTCATTTTGTTTGTTATCAACAGACACTGTTTATTCAGTCACCAGACGAGTGCAGCATCGTGCTAGCCGGTATTTCATATTCACAAATAATCACAAATAATAATTTAGCCAATTGGCGAAATACGAGGGATAATCAACAACAAACAAATGCGAGGTGAACCTACACTACCTATGCATGTACAACCGATACGAAATACAAGAGACGATGATCGTATGGTACTCTAAGTATTTGCTGACTCTTATTCGTCGTTTATTAATTGCTCATTGAGACGGGGGGACAGGCCCACAGGGAGACAGTGCGGAGAGAGAGATAGAATATCGAAAGGGGTGAGTAATAGGAGAGCCGTAGCAGAATACCTCAGGTTCGTATTGAGAGAGTGAGAGAGTGGCATCTAGTACAGTGAAATATCTGTGGAGAGGATATTGTTGGGTTTCTGGAACTGCCCCAGAAAGTATGCTGCCACAACCTGTTGTTGCATGCTGCCATCTGGTGTCTGCTGCCACATGCCTTGGGTCAATGTCCACGCTTCAAACGAAAATCAAAACTCCCACGGCTCATGCCACACTGCGCTGACATTGTTGCACTCGATCTTTGTGTGTGTGTGTGGGGAGGCAATGAAGCGTGACATTTGGGCTAATTGAAATGCAATTAAACGACTCAATCGTTAACCAAATCGAAACTGAAAATTGCTGGTGAACTCAGATGGTGGATTAAGATTTAGATTTAGATTCCGATTCCGATTAAGGTCAATAAATGCCGGCGAATGGCCGAATGCAGGTAAGTTCCTCAATATTTTTGTTTGGCTTCAATTTGAGAATTTATGTTTAAAAGAAACGAAACACACGCCCAATTAGACAATAAACACAGCACACACACTCACACACACAGACACACGAACTAACCTTGGCTGTGGGCTTTGCTTTGCCTTTGCTTTACCTTTGCCTTTGCCTGTTGCCTGCCACTTGGAGGTGTTGCTTGATGCTTTGGAAAATTAGCGAGCAACCTTCGGCCACAATTTTCAAAAGCAATTAAACATACGAGTACATGAGTGGCATGCACCATGAGTACCATTGCTTTTATGAGTACATCGGAGAGCACTCAAGCAGGACCGCTGCTGCACAAAACCAACCTAAGCAACCACCCAACACCACCAATCGAAGCAAAAACAAAACCGAAGCAAATTTAAAGTCAAACTCAAAGCTAAAACCAAATCAAGACAATGACGCACCGCTAGAATGCAATGCAATTGGCAGGCAGGCAAGCCACCAGGTGGATGTTTCGCATGTGGGGGGACCTTCGTCAAGTGCAGGTGTAGATGCAATGGAAATTGCAATTGCAGCTGGAGCTGGAGATGCATGCGGATGCGTCAGCAGTCAACAGCTGGAGACCAAATTGGGTTGCAAAAAGATTTCCCATTTGTTTTCATTAACCCATCAAAGGGCAGGGCTCCTAAACGGTGAAATGTCATCAAACGTTGACATTTGATCAGCAGTCCCCATTGGCATCCTAAGGGCTACACTTCCCTACCGCCCGATCTCGCACGACTTGAGTTCCCTTTCATGTATAAATGAGGTCACGGGTCATTGCTTTCACACTCACCTAAGCAAAATGGTCAATTGTAGGTCATGACCCAGCCGCTCTAGGGCCGGCACGCCCTCCACCCGCAGCACATTGATTTTCTCGCGCAACGAACGGGACACCGTGTGCTGTCCCTGGCGCTCGCGCAGTATCTCCAGGATGTTGGGCTGGCGCAGAAACGCAATGACCTGAAATCGGTAAGGCATTAAAGAAGAACATTAATCGCGATGATGGATCCGAACTCACTTTCTCGTTGTACGCAATGGGCACCTCCTCGTAGCCGGCTGCAGTGGCTCCACCTCCGCCAGCTGCTCCGCCCATACTACTGTATGCACAGCCGATGGCTGCCGTTGTGGTGCAGTTGTGGCTGCCGCCATGTCCAATATGGCTGCTTCTACCGCTGATGCCGCTGCTGGAGGAGGGACGAGGCGGTGGCAGTGGTGGCACACCGGACACAGAGCCCAGGGAGGAGGAGGCAGCCGAGGCGGAGCCAGAACCAGAGCTGGAGTTGATGTGGCCACTAGTGGCTGACAAGCAGTTGCCGTCCACGAGATCCGGATGGAAGTACGACTGATGCTGATGCTGCTGGCGATGCCGCACAACACGGGGACACTCGACGGGCAGGCGCGGATCCATGAAGGAGGTCTTCCGGTGCTGATGGTCAATGAAGAACTGCTTGCCGGACTGGTCGAGCTTCGTCTCCCAGCAGGAGGGCAGCTCGCGGCCCATCTGAGCGAACGTGTTGACGAGCGCCACCAGATCCTTGTTGTACTGGTACCGCTGGAAGCACTGCGGGTCCCGCCTGATCCGCATCACCATGTGCTTGAGGGCGGCATTGCGGTTGTATATCGTCAGCGCCGCTTCGTTCGTGTGCAGCAGGGAGTAGAAATCGGGCCGACAAAGCATCATTATGGCCGGATGGATGCCCGACGAGGTAGTCCCGGCTGCAGCGCCTGCGGCACCGGCGGCGGCACCTGCGGCAGCTGTAGTGGGTTGTGCCGCGGAGGCTACATTTGACTGCCGTGGCGGCGGGGGCAGACTGTAGACTGCCAACCGATTTTCGTTGGTGATGGTCCGCCGTATGCTCTGGTAGCGCCTGTCCAACTGTTGCCGATGGTGTTGCTCACGTCCGGCCGGTCCCCCGCTGGGCGCCGCTCCGGGTCGCTGCCAGGATGTTGTTCGTGTGGTGTGGTCTATGTAGAAGATGCGCCCATGGCTGTCCATGCGCGCCTCCCACGCAGGTGGCAGTGGTGGCTCTCCAGCACCAGCTCCACCACCAGGTCCCCCGGCTCCCTCGGCTCCCATTCCGGACTCTATGACGGCTCCGCCGGCTGCTGCAGCAGCTGCCGCCGCCGCCGCTGCTGCTGCTGCTGTACGCTCCGGAATGGATGGCAGGCGGGTGCTGCTGATGTGAACCATCTCCTCGGAGGCTGGCTCGTGGGCTGCTGGCGACGCGGGCGGCGTCGTCTGCAGGTAGATGTAATCCAATTGACTAGATGGAGGAGAACTGGCGGAGGAGCACTCCGCTGGATGGCTGGAGTTGGCAGTGACGGCTTGAAGGCGGGCATGCCGCCGGGCATGGTGTGTGGGCGTAGGTGGACAGACTAGAGATGACCCTACGCCAGTTGCAGTGGCACCCGCTCCCGCACCCGCTCCTCCACCCACTCGCTTGAGCAGTCTTTGCTGTGGCCGCTGATGGCCATGGAAAGTGGGCGTGCCGGGAGCCGCCGCTGTCGACTCCGTTAGGGCAGTGACGCCACCGACGCCTCGACCCCGCGTGGGTGAGTGCAGCTCCGGACTGGCGGCCACATCTAGCGGCGAGGCACTTCTAGTGGAGCAGCCGGAGGGAGGGCTCCGTTGGCGCTTGGGAGAGAGCAACAGACGGGGCGAGGAGACCAAATGCTGCTGCTCCTCCGTGGACGTGGAGACTGCCTTGCCGTTGGACAGAGCTCGGGACAGGGGACGATGCTGGCGCAAATACGGGAACTGATGCTGCTGCTGCTGGCTAAACGAGGAGTTGTTGCTCGGCGAGGCGCTGGCGGACACACCCGCCGAGTTGCTGACCAGAGGGAAGGTGGGGGGGAACTCGTAGCTCTGCTGAACGCCACCCGATCCCGTTGGCACTGGCACCTTCTGGGTGCTGATCGTATTGATGTAGCTGTCCGGGCCGATCTTCTTTTTGATCAGCGGCTTGAAGCGCACGGGCGGCGTGGAGAGCGGCGAGTTGTGCTGTGGAGTGGTACTGGTGCTGCTGCTGCTGCCGCCAACACCCTCCTCCACCAGACGCTCGTCCGTGTCAAGGATATCAAACTTGAAGACATCGCCCTGCAGCTTGAACTCCCTGCCGACGGCACGGGGCGGCCAGGAGCGCTCCAGTGGTCGGTGCTGGGGCGGCGAGGGCTGATGCAGATGCTGGTGGTAGTGGTGCTTCTGTCGGCGCTGGACATTGGTGCTGGCCTGCAGGGCGGCGGCTGCGCCCAGTAGACTCTCCACAGCCGCCGCCTCTTCGTCTTCCTCGTCCTCCTCGATCTCCTCATCCACCTCGGCCACGCTGAGGCTGTCCACCATCTCGGCGGGCACCGTTTCAAAGCATTCCCGGGCGACCCACAGATTGAAGCTCTCACCATTGGCGTTGGACAGCGTGGAGCAGCCGGATGGCACTGCAGCTGCAACTGCAGATTTTGTCTTCTTTTTGGCCCCGCTCAGGGGCGTGGAGCCGCCGCTCTGGGGCGACAGGGTCCAGGACTTGCGACGTGCGCCGCCACCCACGCTGCTGCTGCCATCGCTGCCGATGCTGCCGTTGTACGAGTTTGTGGGCGAGAGCGTCGTGTGGTTGGCCGGCGTTTCGCAGGATTTGGTGGAGAGTAGCGTCTGATGGCGGGGCTCCTTATCCAGCAACGTCTCCGCCACTTCCCTTTCCGTCTCTGGCTTCGAATCATTAGCTGGCAGCAAGCCTACTTCGTTATGGCTTAAGTCTTTTGGGGCTGCAAGGCGGTTGAAATGTATCGCTGCCACAGCATCGGATTCAATTGAGAAAAATACTTACAATTATCACGTTTCCTGCGCATCAGCACAGGGGCATCCATCTGGGCAGGGCCACAGGCGGTAGAGGCACTGGCACTGGCACTGGCACTGTCATCACCGGGCGGCAGTTGCAGCTGCTCATCCGCATCGATGATGCTCACCTCCGGCTGAGCGTTGGTGGTCAGTGTTAAAGCACTTTGGAAGGCCTGCTCCAGTTCGTCGCTTTCGTTGCCATTGCGCGCCTCGTAGTACGCATCATCCTTGGCATCATCATCATCATCATCTTCATCCTGCTCCTCCTCCTCTTCCTCACCATCACCTGAATTGGGCATGGATGTGTGGGGCACGACATCCACTACATTCCTGTCCGCTAGGCAGCAGGCCACCAACGGAGTCAGGGCCACTGCCGCCGCCACTGGGGGTTCCATGATGAGGATGCTGCGCCTCCAGCACCTGCTCCTCCTCCTCCTCTTCCGCCCAGTGTTACACCAACTGCTGCTGCTGCTTCTGCTCTACTTTTGAGTTATAGATTTTTTTTTGCTTCGCATTGCATTGCCTCCTCCCATTTACTCAATGGGCACTCGCGCAGTAGACTCAGTTCATGGATGCGCCCCAGTTCGTCCTGTTTCACTTCGTAATTAATAAACACTTCTCAATAAACAGCTATAATTGTAAAAAAAAAATAATTCAAGAATTTCGTTGGACAGCTGGGATTAGAGGTGGCCAACTCCCGATGGCCGCCATCGATGAACGCGCTATCGCCCGCATAGGGCTGCCACACACAAGAACAATACTCCGGTATCGGGCGGATATACCTGAGTTTAGCCACTAACCAAATAGTAACTATACTATTTGGTTAGTGGTTTAGCCCCAATTATGTTGTGAAGATAGAATAACTGCCCCCCAAACCCCTCCGAGTTTTTTATAATATTTACCTTTGTTCCAGTTCCATTTCCCTTTCTAAAAAGCTATAGAGTTTCACTTCTTTTCTGTTGAGAGCGTTATTTTTCAAAAAGTTTCATATCAGTTAAGTGTCATATCAGTGTGTCTCTACATGTTACATACACTAACATACTGAAGGCAAAGCTTCCGTGCCTTCAGAGGGGAAATGAAATGAATGAAAAATTCAAATACAAATTTGTGAAATATAAGGTCATAAGGTATACAATCCTATCAAAAGGACTAAATTATTGTATCAGTGTTAAAAGTCTTTGCAAGCTAGTAATATCAAATAGAACATCAGGATCGAGGAATCTGATTTAAGACTACGGTATATTTAAGGTATATTTTGAACATCAAAGGTATACTTTGGTATATTTTCGAGGCCCTGACGGTATATTTGATCGATAGTTTCGCGGTCACGCTGGTCCCACTGCTTGAGTGGCGCACTCTGAATTCTTGTTTCCGCGCCCCCGCGCCAACACACAATAAACCGCAAAGGAATCAACATCATGGCTGCTGCAAGTGGAGAACTGTCCAAGAAGTGAGTACCGACTGGCCAGAAACTTACGACGACACAAAGACCAACAGACCAGCCCAGCTCAGCCACGTCCGCATTCACATCGCTGGCCAACGCAGCACACAAGTGAGGTTAAGTCGAGCCACCGTCGCCGCAGTCGCAGTCGAATCGAATTGTGGAAGAAACTTCCAAGAAAGTAGATACTGAGTGGCTGATGCAATAAAATGCTTGCACGCTGTGCCCTGAGGCAGCTGCAGAGAGTGTCAGTGTCCGTGTCAGTGTCGTCGCCAGGGGCAGTGACCATTCTCAGAGGCTACCATGTGAGCGGCCTGCAGTTGGCACCCAGCACACGAACCAAACTGTGGGTTACTTGGAGGCATAGCTTGGAGAGCAGCTCTCTTATTGATTTCGTTTTCTCGCTTCGATTCGTTTTGCAGTGAGTTGAAGCGCCGCCTGAAGGCCGAGCAGAAGGCCAAGGAGAAGGCCGAGAAGGAGGCCACGCGGGCGGCGGCAGCTCCCGCTGCGGAGGAGGGCGCACAGAAGAAGAAGTCGGCTGCCGCCGATGAAGAGGAAATCTCCCCCAATGAGTACTTCAAGCTGCGCTCGGCCGCCGTCCAGGAGCTGAAGCTGTCGCCCGACACGCATCCCTATCCACACAAGTTCAATGTCAGCATCTCCCTGGAGAACTTCATCGAGCAGTATGCAAGCCTGACGGATGGCGAGACCCTGGAGAATGTCACGCTGAGCGTGGCCGGGCGCGTGCACGCCATCCGTGAGTCGGGGGCCAAGCTCATCTTCTATGATCTGCGCGGCGAGGGCGTCAAGCTGCAGGTGATGGCCAGCGCCAAGTCGTACAAGCCGGAGGCCGCTTTCGAGCCGGACACGGCCAAGCTGCGTCGCGGCGACATCATCGGCGTCAAGGGGCATCCGGGCAAGACCAAGAAGGGTGAGCTCTCCATCATGCCCACGGAGATCAAGCTGCTGTCCCCCTGCCTGCACATGCTGCCGCATCTGCATTTCGGACTGAAGGACAAGGAGACGCGCTACCGCCAGCGCTATCTCGACCTCATACTCAACAACAAAGTGCGCGAGAACTTTCAGATTCGTGCCAAGGTAAATGAAAGGAACTTCTTGCTATTGCACTTGGCATTCCTTCTATATCTTTGCCTTCTCTTTTTGTGCAGATCATTTCGTATGTCAGACAGTTCCTGGATCGCCTGGGCTTCCTGGAGATTGAGACGCCAATGATGAATATGGTGGCCGGTGGGGCGACGGCCAAGCCCTTCGTCACACACCACAACGAACTGAAGATGGACCTGTTTATGCGCATTGCACCGGAGCTCTATCACAAGATGCTGGTGGTAGGCGGGCTTGATCGCGTCTACGAGATTGGGCGGCAGTTCCGCAATGAGGGCATCGACCTCACCCACAACCCAGAGTTCACGACATGCGAGTTCTACATGGCGTACGCGGACTATGCCGACGTGATGGACATCACCGAGCAGATGGTCTCCGGCATGGTCAAGTCGATACGCGGCTCCTACAAGATCAAGTACCATCCGGAGGGACCCGAGGGGCCCGAGCAGGAGCTGGACTTCACGCCGCCCTTCAAGCGCGTCTCGATGATCAAGACGCTCGAGGAGAAGCTGAAAGTGCAGTTCCCCTCCGCGGACACCTTCAATACGCGCGCGACCACCGATTTCCTCTCACAGCTGTGCGTGAAGCACCAGGTCGAGTGCCCGGCACCGCGCACCACCGCCCGCCTGCTGGACAAGCTGGTGGGGGAGTTCATCGAGGAGGACTGCATCAATCCGACCTTCATTTGCGAGCATCCGCAGATCATGTCGCCTCTGGCCAAGTACCACCGCAGCGCATCTGGACTCACCGAGCGCTTCGAGCTGTTTGTCGCCAAAAAGGAGATCTGCAACGCCTACACCGAGCTGAACGATCCCGTTGTCCAGCGTGAGCGTTTCGAGCAGCAGGCCAGCGACAAGGCTGCCGGCGATGACGAGGCCCAGATGGTCGACGAGAACTTCTGCACGGCTCTCGAGTATGGTCTGCCACCCACTGGAGGCTTTGGCATGGGCATCGATCGTCTCACCATGTTCCTCACCGACTCGAACAACATTAAGGTACATCAATTGTCTGCCTCAATTTCCTCTCGATATAGATCTTTAATTCCATTATCTATCTTGCAGGAGGTTCTCTTGTTCCCTGCCATGAAGCCGGAGGAGGCCAATCGCACCCCAGCAGGAGCAGCAGGCACAACAGTCGAGGCCCCCGAGGCTGTTAAGCAGTAGGATTCGTATCCGAAATGGTTCAGTTGATCCGACGACTCAGTCGAAATGTACTTTTACTTGTATTCTGGTCCCAGTGGTGCCCCTCTTTAAGACCTTAACTTATTCAACGAATAAACACAAACAAATTCTTTGCCCAATTCGGATTTCCTGTGTGTTTTCTTTTGCAGGCTGAGGAACCCCCAATATTACCAGAAACACTTTGGATTTGTTTCGTTAGCCGATTCTTTTGCCATTCCATGCCCAGAGAACAGATTTATAACCGGCATTGGCAGCCAATTCTCGGCATGGGAGTCGCTTTCATCTTTTTTATTTTGCATTTTCTGCACCAAATTTTGCATCCAGACTGCTATATGCTCACACTGAAACCAGTGTATTTCAAAAATGAGCCACGCCCCCTTTCGCCCCCGAAAAAGGGCGAAAACCTTCCAAATATACAGTTTTGAAGATAAAATAAAACTAAAAACGCCACTCGCCACACGTAGGGAATGGCCATATCTATCAGATCACCAAATTGGGATTCGATCGGATCATTATTATAGCCAGAATGAAGAAATTTTAGTGGCTAAATCCACCAGTGTTGTTCTTTTCACATTCTCTTATTCACACTCTGCTTCTGCTTCACTCGGCCCCTGCCTCTGCCACTGCCTCTACCGACTTTTAACCCACCCCGTCCCGCAGCTTATATTTGTTTTTTTTTTTTTTTGTGTGCGGGCGCTGCCTCTGCCGCGAGTCTGCAGTATGGTGGGTCTAGGGAAGGGCCACGAGCTAACGGAGCGTGTTGTGACAGATGAAGAAAAAATTTAAAATTTGACAAAACACCGCTAAGGTGCAGATGTAGTCCTGTGTGCCGGGTATAAAAGTTGTGACGCGTAAAAAGCGTCTCACACGTCCCTTCTCGTTTTATTTGCCTTACAACCAAAATCGTACATCTTTCACAGACTTAAACAATTAATTTCGTTTGCTAACATTTTGTACTCTTAACTTTATCTTATCTTTTATTATACTGTTTATAGGATACAGGGTATACCGTGTATATCGGGCACGGCACGGCCCTATCTACAGGAGAGAGGGAGCATAGGAGAAGGCTCTGCCTGCCTAGCCGCTGCCGCTCACGTACACGTGTATTTGGTGATTCCGTTTTGCCTGAGGCTTCGAATAAAAACGCACCAAAAGGCGCGTGAATGTATGCATGCCAATTCCCTGTCTGTCATATAATATAACAAAAGGCCCTTGCACACAAAATAAATTTCACAGTTTCTGCGTTTGATTTTCTCCGCTGTTGTTTTCTATTTTATTTACAAACTATACATTTTGTTTTGTTATTCAATAATGCATCTGCTTGGGGCTTATGTTATATTATCCTATTGTTAATATTGTCATTTTGTGTACTCCACTCATGTGTACGTTGATGCTTCCCTTTGGATAACAAAATTAATTCTATTCTTACAGCCAACTCATAATCAATCGAATCGATCAGGTGTTTTTTTCTTTTTGGTTTTTAGAAGGCCGCCTCATCCAGGGGCATGGTGTAAACGCGGCCCTTCTTCAGCATGTACTGGTTAATGAATTCGTGCGACTTGTGCTTCACCGAATCGTTGCAGATCAAAGGATGGCCGCTCATCTCGCAGTAGCGCATCTCCTTCGTGATGACATGCTCCGTCAGCTGAAAAGGCAAAGGGAAAGGTGTCCCGGTAATCTATGGGGGATGGGAATGCATATTTTTCCATTGCTTACCCGCTTAATTAGGAACTTGTAGTCTGCGTCGCTGGTTATGCGACCCATCTGGCAGTTATCTTTGCGGAATGGGCGCAGAAAGTCTGCAACATGTCCGCTTATGTCGAATCGGAATTTGTCAATCGATTCTCGTCCACCTTTTGTGCTATGAAGTAACCTTAAAGGGGGAACAAATGGAGTCAATCAATCAATCAATTTGTGTTTCTTTTTTCTTACATTTTTCGCTTGGGTTTGCTGCGCTCGTGGCCGCCACCGCGACTCTTTCTCTCTGGTACGGCTGCAGGTGGCTTTTCCGGCGTGTGCGGCGGCAGGGGTGGCAGTTTTCGGTTTATGCCGCCACCGCTGCCGCCTGTGACCAGCGTGGGTATCTGCTGGGGCTTGTTCAGGCAGGCGAGGGCGTAGGCGCTGGTGCTGGGCTCCATGTCGAGCTCCGCCTCGAGTTCATCCACCTTTGTGGCGGAAAATAGTGAGCCTGCTGATCCATTAAAGCCATAGATGATGCCCTCCAATTGAGGGGACTTGGGAGCTTCCACCTCCTCGTCCGATGAGTAGAGATATCGAGGCGTGGACCAGGCCTCCGCATCAGTGCTGCTCGCATCGGAGCTGGTTGCGGCGACCGTGTCCGCGCTGGCCCTCTGCCGCCGGTAGATCTCCTTGCGGCGACGAATCTTCTCCTTGTTCTCCTTGTACTTGCGCGACTCCAGCTGGTTGTAGATCCGATCCTCGTCCCGTCTAGGGCTAATCACGCGCACGGAGCACAGCTTCTTGTGGCGTATTTCGCGGCGCTCCCGCACCTTCGTCTCGATGTGCTGCGCGAGCGACTTGCTCGACAGCGAGCCCACATAGTCAGGGTCCACCGAGATAAGCTCCTCTTCGAGCAGGGCTGGATCGAGCTCCTGCAGCGGCTGATGCTGCTGCGGATCCCCCTCCAGCAGCGTTTGTAGGCGCTGCTCGGGACTGGGCGGCAGCCACTGCGGTATGCGATCGCGCAGATTGTAGTAGTAAATGTACCCTTCGATGGTGCGGCTCCAGTGCCAGGAGAGCGGCAGTGGATCCACGCTGGCCGGCAGCTTGTACTCTGCGGGCAGCATGTCCTGTTCGCTCATCTCTGTCGAGGGGGCCAAGGCCAGGTCTGTGCGCAGCGGCGCCATTACGGGCACATCCTCCGAGTTGAACCACTCACCGGTCTCCGTGTTGTACGAGAAGGGCAGCAGCTTCGGATCCGTATTGATGTCCGCACCAAAGTATTCGCAGCGCAGCTCGTGCTCCCGCCAGTCCTCGCTGCACACGCGCTTCTCGGCCTCGTCCTGGGCCACCTGTAAACGATTATTAATGGAGATTATTAAAACGGATATTCCTTCTCTGCTTTAGTGTGTCCGAAACATACCTTCCGCTCGAATAAAGATCGTCTTAGCTCCTTAGACAACAGCGCACCACCAGCGCCGCTGCCGCCGCCTCCGCCTCCACGACGCGTCTCCAGTGTGGCTCCACTGCTGTTGTCCGGGCGACGTCGCATCTCGGTACGCGGCTGTCCCTCGGAGGGATTGCTGCCCTTTGGCTGGGTGGTGATGGTGCATATGGTGTTGTTGCCGCTCATGCGGCTCATGGGCGGCTTGGGGCCGCCGCTGTTGCGGCTGCTGATCGTGTCGCGACGGAAGCGATCCTGCCGGTAGCGATCGGTGCTGCTGTCGCGTGCCGAGTCCTCTAGGGCGGAGGCAGCGGTCACATGGTGGCTGGCCACATGCTTCTCGGTGGGCCGCTCGCCGGTGCGATCCGCCTCCCGCTCGTGCTCCTTCATCTGCTCGATGCGCTCCCGCTTCGGTATGCGGAAGATCTCCGGCAGGCTGCTCCACTTGCTGATCAGCTTCAGCATGCGTTGGCCGAAGCAGTTGGCGCTGCTCATCTGTGACTGCCGACCCGCAGGACCCGCGCTCCACTGCTGCACGCTCTGGTAGACGCGACTCTCGTTCAGCATCGTCTTGTTCGGTATGGGAAGCGCCTCGAGCGCATCCAGCAGGGCCATTCGCAGCTCCTGCTCGCTGCCGTTCTCGCTGATCCACGCGTGCAGTAGCCGCAGCCCGTGGTAGTCCAGGAAGAGCCGGCGGCAGGGCAACTCTCCACGTGTGAGCACCTGCAGCAGCTGGATGCGGGTCGGCAGCAGCTTCGCTCGCACCATGATGCGCGAGATGCGCAGCGTGTCCAGTTGGTTCTTCAATCCGCAGCGGCTGAGCAGCGACAGCTCCTCCAGCACATCGGGATCCTCGAGCATGGCATGGAATTTGTTCACCTCTGGCTTGGCAGCGCGCGGATCCTTCTTCTCTGCTGCACCAGCACCTGCACCAGCTCCGGTGGTGGGCTTCAGCCAGCGTCCGGCCTTGAATTCTCGATCTCGCTCCTTGGCCTTGGCCGCCGACTCGCGTTTCTTGCGCTGCTCCTTGGACACTGCTGGCAGCTTCACCTTGGACTTGGAGCTGTTCTTCGCGGCACTCGCCTTGGTCTTGCTCTTGCTCTGCTCCGGCTCTGTCTCCTCCGTATCGGACTCGCTGTCTGTGTCATCCGTTTGGGTGTTGTTCTCGTTCTTCTGCTCTCCCTCGTCGGACTCCGGCTCGGTGCCGATCCAGCCGCGGCAGTTGGCCGCCTCGCAGTAGCAGCGCTGGGCATCCCGGCCGTACCGCTGGTACTGATAGTCGAAGGTTATCTCCTCTCCAGGCAGGATGGTCTTAACGCTGAAGAAACCGATGCGCAGCTCCCCGTTAACGGTCCACTTCTGTGTCTCGGCGTTCGGGTCGCAGCTGTGGTTGATGTACCGCGAGATGTTGCCGCGCATTGTAGCATCGATGATCGCCTCGCCGCGCAGCGCCATGAAGTAGTAGTGCCGATTGCGATCCTTCGAGTAGCGATGCTGCCGCCGCTCAAATTCCTCGCTGTCGATGACCTCGCCCACGTACTCCATGATGAACTCGCCGGCGGGTATCAGCAGCTCCGCGGTGATGCCGCAGCCCTTCTTCTCGGTGCGAAAGACGCGGCAGGGCCAGCATTGGTGCAGCTGGAAGCGCTTGTTCGTGCACCGCTCCCCGTTCGTGCACAGCGGACCGCACTCGATCATCAGCATGCGGTTGATGCAGCCCGCACCGCAGCACAGATGCCCCTGGGCCTCCTCGTCGCCCGTGAGGAAGCAGTCGCACTGCATCTCCGCATTCTCCTGGCTCACCTGGCGCGCGCATCGATAGTAGTTCTCGCGCAGCTGCTGGAACGTGAGCAGCCCCTCGCTGCGCAGGAACTGTTCGTTGATGGTCTCCGTGTTGGCCAGCTCCGCCATCTGGTCCTCCATGCTGAAGGGGGGCGCACTGCTGGCCACGCCTCTGCCCTGACTGGCCTTCGGCCCCTGCGGCTTCTGTTTGATCCGATGCGAGCGCCGCACGCCGCCAGCGCTGCCATCCTCATTGGAGCCCTGCGGCAGCATCATCAAGGGCAGCGTCGGTGAGGAATCCTCTGTGATGGTATTGGCCCTGGTGCTGGCACCCGATCTGGAGTTGCTGCTGCCGCTGGGCGTGGGGGAACGTGTCGTCGATGGCGTCTCCAGGCAACTGGCGCTGGCCAATTGATCGTCGCCCTTCACAGCCTCCGGTTGAGCCTCGTCCTCGTCTTCGTCATCCTTGTAGCTGCGGTTCAGCAGAATCACCCCATCCTTAATGAACTTTGCAATGTCCCTGAGAGCTTCGGGTGGCTGCACCTCAGGAGATGTTGCAGGTGCAGCTGCAGCTGCCTTGACTGCCACCTTGGGGGCCTTGGGTTTCTTCGGTGTCGGAGCCGCCAAGGTCGCTGATTTCTTAGGCAGCGTCCTCTCTCGGGGCATGGGTATGGGCAAGAGCTCTGCGGGCGAGGCATTCCTCACTCGTGGATCGGCACTCCTCAAGGCCTCAGCAGCCAGCACGGGCTCAGCGCATATGGTGATCCTGCGACGCTGATCCAATAGCAAAGGCGATCGCGAGCCATGCTTCGTGGAAAGCGCACCTCCGCGGCTGCTTAACTTGTCTACCTTATTGACGCTGGGGAATTGTTCTGGTGTTTCGGTCTTGCGCCTGGCACTAATCTTTTTTATCTTTGGCTCATTCGCCGCTGGTGATGACATCCTCGAGGTTGGCTTCGACGAGGATGAGCTGCTGGCGCTAATGCTGCTGTGGCGACTGCTCCTCCGGGACGCACAGGACACTGAGGCGGCGGCCTGTTTCGCTTCCTGTTTGGGTGCAGGCGACTGTGACTTTCCAGCATCAGCTTCGTCTGAGTTTGCAGCGCGACCCTCGAGGCAAGCCTTAATCAATTTCTCGGATATGTCTGCTGCACTGTGATCCATCAGGGTGAGGCGACTGGTGTTGATCTTCTGCACCTCTGGAGTTGTTGCAGTTGCAGCTGCAGCTGACGCTTCAGTTGCAGTCGAAGGCTGCACATCCCAGCGCTTGCTTTTGCCACTCGCTGACTCCGTGGAATCTGTGTCAATGGGCTCCACTGCATCCAGCTGCACGGGCAGAGCCTCCTCGGTGCTCTTTCTGCTGGTCGTGGGCCTACGCGGCTTCTTGCTCCTCAGATCTGGCGGCTCTGATGCTCTCTTGACTGCAACCTTGGGGGTCATGGTCATGGGTTTCTTCGGTGTCGGCGCCGCCAAGGTCGCTGATTTCTTAGGCAGCGTCCTCTCTCGGGGCATGGGTATGGGCAAGAGCTCTGCGGGCGAGGCATTCCTCACTCGTGGATCGGCACTCTTCAAGGCCACAGCAGCCAGCACGGGCTCAGCGCATATGGTGATCCTGCGACGCTGATCCAATAGCAAAGGCGATCGCGAGCCATGCTTCGTGGCAACCGCTCCTCCGCGGCTGCTTAACTTGTCTACCTTCTTGACGCTGGGGGATTGTTCTGGTGTTTCGGTCTTGCGCCTGGCACTAATCTTTTTTATCTTTGGCTCATTCGCCGCTGGTGATGACATCCTCGAAGTTGGCTTCGACGAGGATGAGCTGCTGGCGCTGATGCTGCTGTGGCGACTGCTCCTCCGGGACGCACAGGACACTGAGGCGGCGGCCTGTTTCGCTTCCTGTTTGGGTGCAGGCGACTGTGACTTTCCAGCATCAGCTTCGTCTGAGCTTGCAGCGCGACCCTCGAGGCAAGCCTTAATCAATTTCTCGGATATGTCTGCTGCACTGTGATCCATCAGGGTGAGGCGACTGGTGTTGATCTTCTTCTTTGTCAGCTTTGAGCCACCCCCAATCGCTGGGGATTGCTGCATTGAGTAGCTCTTCGGCTGTGATCCAGAACTGGCCGCACAGTCCCCATTGGGGGACAACTCTCTGGGGGTGGATGGCTTCGATTGCGTCTTTCTGGGGCCATTGGGCGCATCACTCCACGACGTTCGATCGATGGTTGTGAAGCGTCGCGATCGAATGGCATTCGGCGATGGCTTCCGTTCCGCTGGTGCTGGTGCGGCCTTCTCTTTAGCTTTCCCGGCTTCAGGGGCTCGGACAGCCGAGTCGGAGAAGGAAGTGGAGCAGGCAGACACTGGCGAGCTGCGCCCGATGGCGGAAGTGCTGGTGCGTCGCTTATTCTGGGTCTTCGTATAGGTGTCGGCCTGGCCCAGCAACTGCTCGAAGGAGAGTCTTGGCTCTTCGGCAGTTATCGACGGCATGGCCGTTGCCTTTTCTTTGGGTGACTGTGGCCTGGGGGTTCTCTCATCTGTCTTGGCTTCCACCGAGGAGGCGAGCAAACACTCACTGGAAGTGGTCTGGCGTCGCTTAATGGGTTCCATCGATGCAGGAGACTGCGTCCTAGAGGATGCCTTCTTGGTTGCATCAAGCGATTCCCCGGAGGAGCTGGATTTTCGTATGTTTTTAATGAGATTCGCCGGCGATTGCTTCCCTCCTGCTGTTGGTTTTCCCTCAACTTTCTTGGCGTCTTTTTGGGACAGAGATTCTAGCGATGAGGGGCGGGACAGTGTGGGGGGTCGCTTTGCGGCTGCACTAATCGCCGGATACTGTCTGCCTCCAGTCGATGTTGCCTTTGTTGTCCCATCTTTACAAAGGTCCCCAAGGGCGGTGCCGCGTGGTGCTGCTTTTGGGGAGGGACGATCGATGGTCGTGAAACGACGCGTTGGCATGGCACTTTCCTTCTTTGGTGCCGACTGAGAGTGCGCTTTGACCTCATCTCTCCTGGCATCGGAGGCTAGCGAGCCTCGGGATTTGCTTCGCTTTGCTGTGGCACTGCCTCTGTACTGCTCCTCCTGCTGGGAGGAGGAGGAGGAGGAGAAGTCTTCCTGCAGGTCGTCGGTATTCAATTTCCTGCTGTTTGCATTTGCAGCAGGATCCACAAGTCCATCGGCTCGTGGTTCAGTCTTTTTCGTGACAGACGGTTTCTGCTTTTTGGCCTGGGATCTGGCCACAGCCACGGGAGTCGGAGTGGTATCCCTTTCATTCGAGGCGTAGTACGAGGTGTTCCTGCGAGTTTTGCTCCTTCCACCGAGCGCAGGAATTGTCGTTGTCGTCGTCCTTGTCTTTGTCTGCTTCTGACCTCCAGAGCTGTTCGATGGCATTAGTGTTGATGCCATCGACGTCGCTGCCTTCTTGGCCTCCAGCTTGACCTTCTTCTTGTGCGTCTCCTCGCGCATCTTCTGGGCATTGGCACTCTCCAGTGCCTGGAACATGGCATCGCATTCAACGATGGCTTTGACGTGGACAGCGCTCGGAGTGGCCAAGGGAGTGGCCACGGCCATAGCAGTGGGACTGAGGCTGAGACTTGCATTGGAGTGGCTCTTGGGTTCTTCTGCGCTCTGCTCTGGTTTGCTGGGAGTTTCCTTTTCGTTTGGCTTTGGTTCCGCTGCTGGAGAAGGTTCCCCTGTAGATGGGCTCTCGGCTGCCTTAGTTGGCTCTGTCATGGACTCGATTGGGCTGTCCATTTCCATTGGAACTAAAATTGGAACGACTTCCTTCTCATCCACCTCCTCTTGTGGAAGTGGCAGTGGCAGTGGCAATTTCTGGATTATCATCTGTGATGCTTCCATTTCTAATGAGATCTCTGGCTGCGCCTCTGGTTGTGGCTCTGGCAAGGCGATTTGGATAATCACAACATCCTCGGCCACAGCTTCTGGTTCTGGTTTTGGCTCTGCGGACACATCCGCAACCGCATCCACGGGTGTCTGCTGCTCTGTGCTGGCATTCTCCTCCTCTTCTGCCTCAACTTCAAGTATAATCGTCTGCGGCTGTGACTGGCCATCTGGCTGGACACTGGTGCGTGGGCTCTTCGCCTGCAGCTGCAATGTGACGTCAGTGGACAATTGTGGCTCCATCTGCTGCTCCTCCTCTGCTGCTGCAAGGGCGCCATCCAGCTCAATGACTTGCACTTGCCCTTCGTCCTTCATGTGCTCATCGAGCACCAGCTCGTACTCCCCGTGGATGCCCTCATCATGGCTATCATCCTCAATCAAGTCAATCAGCGTGTGCTCCTCCTCCTCCTCCTCATCGTTGTCCCCTTCGGAGTGGGAGTCAGACTCTGCCTTGAGTAGAATCTGCTTGCTGCTTGAGGCGGCTATCTCCGCGAAGGTTTCTTCGAGGGTTTTTCCCGCTTGGCTGCTGCTGCTGCTATTGGCTCCTTCCGTTTTGGCAGTTCGCCTGCTCCGACGCCTCGCCGAGGACGAGCCCTGAGAGGTATCCTCCTCCTCGCTCGAGACATCTGTCAGTACATTACACACGTCAGGCTCCTGCTCCTGCTGCTCAGTTTCTACTTCAAGCTCCTGTGGAGGCTCCTCTGATTGTTCCACCTTGCTTCGGCCCGTCACTTCCCTGCCCGTGTCGATCTCCGTAAAGATTATCTGCGAGTCCGAAGAGTCGCCGTCATCGTCGACGACTGTGGGCAGGGACACGGGCAGCGGCAGCAGCAGCGGCTTCATCTTTGGCTGCTCGTCGAGTGCGTTTTCATCCTGCAGAACGGGTGTGGAAGCAGCGGAAGACGAAGAGCTGCTAACATCCACCACGGCATCGCCCAGAACGGTCGAGTCGCCCGAGTCCCACGATCCCTGGCGCTGCACAAAGTTCAATCGCTTGAGGGTCACCCGGCACTTTCGCCTGGGCGCTGTCGCCTCATTGCTGTCCGTGCTGCCCCTGCTGCCGATGCTGCCTGTCGTGGAGGCGCCCGTCGAATTGGTATCCGAATCGGAGAAGTTCATGCTGTGGCTACTGCTCTGGCTGTGTGTCTTGTCCAGTGAACTCTTAGTAATGGGCCTGCCTCGACCCCTGCGCATGACGGATGCTGCGAACGCTGCAGCCGCCGTCGCAGGGGCAGTCGCTGTGGCAGTCGACGTATTGCAACTGGAGGATTCGCTGTTCAGCTGGGCCACAATCAGGCTCGGAGTGCTGCGCGGCTTGACAAAGATCCCCAGGGCAGCGGGTGGCGGCGGAAGTTTGGGCGGTGTGCGATTGCTTGGGAACATCGAAAACAAACGATTGGCAGGCGGAATGCTGGGCGAAGTCGTTGTGCTGGCAGCTGTGGAAGGCGCACCAGCTGGTGCTACGGGTGGTGCCGGCTCGGGCAGATTGGAGTCGATGCGTCCCTCGATCTGGATCTTGTGCTCAGGCTTGCGCAGGCTGAGCACGTCGCGCACGTCGAACTTGCAGAATCTCTTGCGCGAGCTGCGGCGGATTGTGTTGGGCGAGTCAGCGCCAGGCGATTTCTCTTGGTAGTTCTGCAGCTCTGCATCGGGGGGCTGTGCGTGCTCTCGCTTAGGCGGGCGCCCGCGTCCTCGGCCACGTGCGGCAGCCATCGAGGTGCTGGCCATGGTATTGGAGTCGTCCATGGTGCAACTGCCCACTGGCTGCTGGCAAGAAACCAGAAAGAGAAGCGGTTAGCGTGCAAATAAATTGAGTGGAAAAAGCACTCAAAAGAAAGAAAAAACTTGACTCTTACTCAATATGGTGCGCGCGGGGGGAGGCGGTCAGTTTGGTGCGGCTGCAAGCGCAGATTGTCGGCTTTTGTGCAGGTTGCGCCGGGCTGTGCACGCGCCGCTTCTTGCACTATCTAACCTAATTACAGTTAACCTTAATCTAACGAAACTTTAAAATAGCGGCAGTCTCCTAAATTATTACTTATTCTATTATTTTTCCAATTTTGTTTTACTAGCAGTGTGACAACCGACTTATCGATAAAATATCCCAAAATATACCATTGCACCTTCAACATATACCAAATTATACCATTGCATCTTCAAAATATAAAGTAAATATACCGTAGTCTTAAATCATATTCCTCGATTTTTATGTTATATTTGATATAACCAGCTTGCAAAGGCTTTAACACTGAAACAATAATTTAATCCGTTTGAAGAATCAATTTGACCTATTTAAATACTAATTGTTATTGGTTTGTATACCTTATGTCCTTATATTTTACAAATTAAAGTATTCAAATCAACCCTCTTGAAGCACGGGAGCTTTGTGTTCAGTATGTATGTGTATGTAACATGTAGAGACACATGTATGTTAAATGATATCAAGAAAATATTTGAAAAACTGCGCGCGTAACTAAGAGAGAAGAAATTATATTATTTTTCTGAGAGGGACACGGAATCCATCTCCGATGGATGTCCATCCGCCGTCGGATGCCTTTCTCACGCTTAACAACATGGTAGTTGCATCAAAAACCCATACCCCTGTCAATCTAACTTCGGACTCAGTTGCTGTTGCTCCAGCTCGGTTTTCTGGAGTACCACTCATAGCAGTGGTCCTCGGCAAAGCAATCTTTGTCTCTCGTCTTATTCCAGAAGCCACGCCGAAAGATGTCAAACTACATCTAAGCTCTAATCTTAAATCGCCTGAGGACTTTATTATATGTAAATTTGAATTTACACAAAAGCGTAAAATCTCATCATTCAAAATTCTTCCTCCCGATTCTCTTTTATCCAAAGGTTTGGAACCGTCTGCACGGCCTAAGCACACTATTATGCATTCCAATTCTCGATTATTGTTGTGCGAGCCCCTAGAACTCTCAACACTAAACTTTTAGTTTTAGCTGATTAATGAATCAATTTTCAACACGATTGGCCAATTTCAAAGACTCTCTTTACTGTAATGTCTTCAAAAAAGGCACCACCCCATGGCAAAACATAAATAAAACCAATATAAATTTCAAAAAACAATTAGAGACAAATTTTATACAATTTCAAGAAGCAGCACAACACTGATCAGAAATAAGCATTAATAAAGTGCCGCAACTTTGTCTGTGAAAACTACTTATAAATTGATTTGGAACAAAGACGTATCAAGGGCCTGTTACAGGTCTAATCAAATGGTAAATTACAATTATTTTGACCTTTCTAATGTGCTCTTTGGCGTCTGTAAAATGCCAATCAAAAGTTTCTGATCTGAGCCTTATGGTAATATAGTTGATGTTCTGCATTTTGTTAACTTTTCTCGAACTTTGGTTAAAATACATACACATTGAAAAGTCGAAATCTTCCAAGCTATAAAAGAATTTAGCTTTCGGAGCGCTGTTCTGCTTGCTTTTCCCAACTTTGAGATTGCATATTGGTGGAGCTTTGATCTCGGAGGGCAAACTTTTAGTGGAACTGAAAACCCCAACCCTTAGGATGACCCACATGCAGCCACAACTGTGGCAGTTGCGTTAATTTGGCATTGCCACAGACTGGCAGACAGAAAGGCGTCGAGTCGAGAAAGAAGAGAAAAGTTAAGGTGAGAAAAGCAAAGAAAGAAATAAAGCAAGAGTAGAGTCGGGTAGGCATACCAAATTGATTTTATCAGTAGTAATGAATAATAATGCCTAATAAGCGGCGTCTACTTCGACATCAACACACACCACTCCAAGCCGCCTTCCAGCTACCATTTGGGAGCCGCCGCTGCTGCTGCTGCCGCTGCCGCTGCCGCTGATGATGATGACGAAGTGGATGTGGCTGTGGGGCTGTGGATGGGTGACGGCTCATTACATAAACGATGGCGCATTGCACCGACTCCAGTCTGCGGAGGGGCTTATTAGAGTTAATTGTTAACAGCTCCGCCAGCTGGCGACACTTTTTTTGTTGTATTTTTTTTTGTATTTCAATTTCTAGTCAGTTTTCTCGATTTTTTAACATATTGTATATGCCCTTTATGCGGCATATACAATTATAAAAGTGAGTTTTCGAAATAAAATGTACAGCAAATATTTCCTACGTGAAGGAAAATATAAATTACGATTGACTTTGGGTGGTGCTATGGATACAAGCAGTGCAGAAGCAGTGCTGCCGTCTGTGGATGCTTAGTGGGCCACCAAATAAATGAACCGTTAACCGAAAGAGCATACGGATATCGGCGTGCACCAATCATTGGATTTCTTTTTTTTCTTTCTTTTGTTTGTAGCTGCAGTCTCATCGGCAGTTCAATCGTCGAACTTGGCAACTGTTGCCCCCTTAACGCTTAATGAGATTGCATTTCCCGACCGGGCAAGGCTCCAGCGAGTTGAGTCCACGGGGTCCAGACATTATGCAATGCCGATGCGTCTAACGCGATTGCTGCTTCCAAAATTGGCAAACAGAAGCCCAATTGCGGCGCGGCGCTTTGGATTTTTCCGTCAATTGATAAATAAGCCCCATGGAATATATTGTGGGGTTATAGACAGCACACAAATCAGCAGCAGCAGCAGCAGCAACAACAGCAACAGTAACATTAACAGTACGAAAGAGACGGTAACAGTAAATCTTTCGCCTCTCTGGTGAGAGTCTCTGGGACGGCAGTCTATCCACGGGCCATGACCTGACCCAAGTGATTTGCGTAACACAATGGATGGGGGTGTAGGGTGGCGGCTCAGACGTTAGCCGCCTCTTGGCTTTTGGCTTTCCCAGCCAGTCACGACCGTCGCAATTTTCTTGTCACTGTCAGCCGAAAAAAGCGAGGCGCCGCGGCGTACGCAACAAAACGAAGTATTAACAGCAGTGCCAGCAGCAGCGGCGGTTGAAACGGCAAACAAACAAAGCAGTGGCGGCGATACAAACAACAACAACAACAGCAAGAAGCAGTGGCAGCAGCTGCAGCAGAGGCAGCTCCCGATTGCCACTCTGATAAGAGGGCAGACAATTTGAGGAAAAAAGCGAGCCGAATATCAAATGATCTTTCTAAGATAAGTTAACTTCTGTAGAAGTACCAAGTGAGCTGGGGAGAACATCTCTCCCTCTCCTCAGTTAATGGCAGCTGATCCAATTGATTTTAAGGCGCACTGCTTTGATTCTCCTTCTAATTCTGAGACTGCTGTTTCCTTCTTCCTTACTGTTCTGCTGTTATTACCGTTACTCGCTTTCCGCTATTCCACAGACACAACATATTTATTGCTAAATCGATGGTTTGGTGTTTTGAATGTTTTAATGACCAATTGAATCTCTATTACCCCAATGCGATGATCACTTGCTGTTGTTGCGGTGTCTAACAGTGGCTACAATCATTTTCAAATCAATTCCGTATACCCATTCCAGGTGATTCTCTTTTTATTGAGTTGTTATCTCACAGCACAAAGTCTCTTCGAGCAGGGTATACAAAATAGTTTACTCGCAAAAACAGCAACTTAACGAACAGTCGCTGCCTGCTGTTGTTGGAGTCTCGGCCTCTGTTGCTGCCGTCTGCCACTGCCGCTGCTGCTGCTGCTGCTGCTGCTGCCGCTGGCAGCGTGGTTGCTTCTCTGCTGCCTCGGCAAGCAGTTTCCATTTCATTTTTAAGCTAACGTTCAGCGCGTTCAGCGTTTTAATATTTAATTGTCGTCGATCGCGAGCGGTTGCCATTGCCATTGCCATTGCTGTCCACTGCCAGTGTCACGGACTTACCGTTAACCGTTAAAACGTTGTGTGTTGCATACCGCCACGAGCTACAGGCACTGCTTTACTGCAATTTTAACCGCGAATTTTTTGTTCAGTGATTTTTGTTGATGTTTTCTACTAAGTGCTACGCAAGGATAATCTCCAGCATGCTGACCCTTCCCGCAGCCTGTCTATGTCTGGCTCTGCTCTTCGTCGTCGCGTGGCATCCACAACCCACCGCTGGCCGCAGCTACAGCAGCGGCCTCATCTTCTACGAGCTGGCCACCCACACGCCCTATTTGCCGCCCACTGTGAGCGTGTCGCGTGGTCGCAACCTGGCCAGCGTCAAGTACTCGTCCAAGGGCTCCATTTGGTCTACATTTGGGCAGCCGTGCGAGTGCCATGGCCCCGTGTGCGGCTGCTGTGCCGGCCTCAAGGTGGATCAGTACAAATTCGACCAAAAAGGTAAGTCAACGGATGAGCAAGTCCTGGAATACAGAAGAAAAGGAAGAGGAAAGGAGAAAGGGAACCCTTAGAACACTTTTAACAGCTAGAAATTATTTTCGTGGATTATTTTGATTAGTTATACTGTAAATATCAGACCGTAAAGGTCAATGATTGGAATTAATCTTCTAGTTTAATCATCGATTGAATCTCCCTCAATCTAAGTGCCATTCAGTGATAGTGCAGCAAAATCAAGAGCAGTTTAGTTGCCCCAAACACATATGGAAGTACAAGTAATTCTGCCTGCAGTCTGTATTCAACTGTGAAGAACGATCAAGTCAGACCAGTGCTGTGGCACTTTGGCATTCCCAGTCCTAGTGCGGGGCCTGCCTGGGCGATTTCCTTGGCAAAGATCTCTGGAGCGGTGTGTGTGTGTGGGGGAATTGGCAGCGATGGCAATAAACAATAGCAATAAAAGTTGTTTTTAGCTTTACTTGAATCTCGTTTCGATTTCGTTTCGTTTCGTTTCGTGACATGGTTGCCATTTGCCAATCAAAATGCCACAAATTGTTGGCGCGCTTGGAGCACTCTATGGTCTGGTCTGGCGTGGATCTGAATGTGCCACCCGCAACTTTCATTCATTGAATGGAATCGTTTCATTGTCTCACTCTCGCTCACACTCTTTTCCCCTCTCCCCACTCTTTCTTGCAGTGTGCGCCAATGTCACGTTCGTGCCACAGCTGGAGGAGGCTCAGCTGGAGGTGTACCTCAATGAGCGGCCCTCGTCCAAGTACGGGATCTCGTTGAGGAATCCGTCGCCGTTCTGCATACCCGTCATGATGGGAGTGCCCATGGCCATGTGCGTCCAGATGACCGACGTGGCCCTGGTGGGCAACAATCTCAACATGTGCATGGACTTTGTGGTGCGACTGGCGACCACGGATCTCTTCGAGATGCACTTCCAGTGCATGCGAATGGGCCTCGACGGCCTTCAGTATGTGGACAAGAATGGCAAGCCCGTGCTGCCAGCCGCCGAGCCGCAGGGTGATGATGATGCTGATGATGAGGAGGAGCAAATGGAACCGGGAACGGGTTCTGCTGCGGAGTATGACTATAGTGAACAGGAATTGCCAGAGGAGGAGGAGAAGCTGGATCAGCAGCAGCAGCAGCAGCAGCCGGAGGTGCAGGAGGAGGAGCAGCCTGAACCATTGCCAATTGAAAGTGAAATGCTAATGGCCAGCGATCAAGACCTGGCCAACAAAGAAGACCAAATGGAGGCTGTCAACGAGGAGGAGGAGGAGGAGGCGGCGGCGGCGGCAGACTCAGAGGCAGATACAGAGTCGGAGGCGGAGGCGGAGACACCTGCCAATGCTGGCGAGAGTGGCCTGAAGCCAAACGAAGTAATTGAAACAATTACCAATTCAATAAGAGCCACTGAGGCGCCTTTAGCAACTACAACCACGACGACAACGACAACGACAACTCGACAGCCGATCACAAGCCACGAGCAGATCGATGGTGAGGCGGAGAGGGAGCAAGAAGAGCCAAAGGTGGAAGAGGTGAAAATGTCAACTGAAGAGGAGACAGAGCAAGAGGCAGAGTCAGAGGTAGAGACAGAGACAGAGGCAGAGGCAGAGGCAGAGTCACCCACCATCACATTGGCAGAAAAAATCGAAAACGAAAACGAAAACATTAGCGACAACGAGATAAATGTGGATGATGATGCTGGGAAAGATGGCAAGGTGAAGGAACCCCCAGCAAAAGTGCAGCCGGAGAAAGAGAAGGAAACGGAGAAGACAAAACCGGAGCTAGAGACGGGCACGGAGTTGGAGACTGGCACTGAGTTATTTGATATGGCCGAGGCAGAGTTAAACGATGACACAGCTGCAGAGGAGGTGGCCAATAAAGCGGAAGAAGCTGATGAAGATGATGCCGCAGAGGGGGAGGAAGACGAGACTGAAGATGACGCCGAGCTGGAGGAGGATAACGCTGATGGTTATGAGGAGGATGACGAGGAGGATGCCGAGGAGGAAGAAGATGAGGATGAAGAGGAGGAGGCACAAACAGAGGCCACAAGCCATGCAAGTAGCCAGCAAAATAGCATTGAAAGCACTGCAGTGCATCAAGCAGTTGATGACCAAGCACATGCAAGCAGTGCCATACAGACAGATGCAGCGACAGCGACAGCAACAGCAACAGCTGCAGCTGCAGCCAAGTCGTTGTCCAGGCGCCATCGATTGCAACGGCAACGTCGCCGCCACCACGCCGCCAAGCAGTCTCGTGCACACTTACTTTAACGTAATTATTAATTGTTAATGAGTTGTTAATGCTAAACGTTGATGCTTGTTAATTAATACTTATTTAATATTTATTGAAACCAACACTCAAAGCCAAACTCAAGCGAATAAAGCATAATTTAAATCCTAAATTTATGTCGTTATAGGCGAGCCTGCGTCAACTGGGTTCAGAGCAGGGCAAGCAGTGGTACACCCGCAAAATGTCACAATCCGAAGCAGTAGAAGCTCAAGCAGTTGCCTTGACTCTCACTCGCACCGTAAAAACAGGTTAAACGAAAGCCAATGGCAATCGCTGGAGCCAATTCAGCTAAGGTTGGATAGGGAGTTGAACGAGGGCTTACCACTGATGCGCCGATTGTGGGGTTTTCGCAGGGACAGCTCCGAGTTGCGCAGCCGGCGCAGGTTCAGGTCGTTGTCATTGACTGTGTTGCAGATGGCCAGAAAGGCCATCAGCTTACGTGACCTGAGCTCCTTGGCCAGCTGACTGGCCTTCCCCAGGGACTCCTTAAGGCGCTCGAAGCGACTGAGGACAGCGTGCACCTGACAGACCAGAAAGATGCTGTTATAGCGCCAGATCAGGCTGTTGCAGCTGCGTGCCTCTGCACAAAAAATGGTTACAAACTGTTACAAATGGTGTGGTGTGACTCACCATTGAAGGCACTGCGGGCCATGACCAGGCTCTTGTCGAAGCGGAACTCCTTAAAGTGTACGCGGGCCAGCTCGAAACGCAGATAGGCACGTTCGATGGGATAGCGGGAGTTGCGTAGCCTTTCCTCCAGATGTTCCATCTTCTGGCTGCAATGGTAAAAGCAGGGAATGATTGGAGTTACTTCCTCCCTTCACTCAACACTTACTTTGAACGAAGTTTGCGCTCCTCCTCCCTTTTTATTTCCAGATAGAGATTGGGTCCGCCAAACCTGATGTTCATGTCCTTGGTGCGCTCCGGCTGCAGCAGGTACAGCACCAGGCGGTTCTTCGGATCCAAAAAGTCAACGTTCGCTGGCACTGCACACTTATCCGCATAGGCCAGGGCCAGGCTATTGTACACATCGTTGACGAACTCCCACTTCCAGGGCAGCGTGCGATGTGTCTTCAGGTCAATTATGGTGGACATTATGTGATCGATGTAGTCCGTCAGCCCCTCGACGTTGCCTTCAGCACGCAGCTGGTGCACCTCTCGCAGCATTCGCATGCAGTCGCGCCTGGTCTGGTACTCCAAATGGAAAAGGTACCTCTCGCGGCTCTTCTCGCCACTGAGCGTCTCTCGGCATTGCTTCTCTTTGCTGTTGTACATCGGATTGCCGGCGTGCATCGTTTTCTGTTAAGAGAGGAAGGATAACAGGATAAGCAATGGATCAGTTGCTCTCAGTCGCACCTCACCATGAACTTCCTGACGATCCCATACTGCTCGCCACTGAGCTGCCTCAGATAGGGCGTGGTGCCGTTCGACAATGGGTTCAGAAAGATCTCATTGCTGCGCAACAGCTGCAGCAGGGCCACGTCCACGGCACTTTTTCCGAGATAATGGTGGTTGTAGAAATTCTTGCTGGCACGCCGCCGTGCCCGCTCCAGAGAGGTAAGCGTTTCTATCTTCTTGTCGAGCACGCTCTGGACGTCACATTTTTGCTGCTCCAGCAGCGTCTTCCACAGCGGACGGGGCACAAAGGCGGCCAATTCCTTACGACGGCGTAGAACCTCATCGATGGCGCTTCTATTCTGTTGCAGGAATGGACCGAGCGTTGCACCCACCGTATGCTCAAACACGCCCATGATCTGCGAATGTGATTGAGGTTGCATGTTTAGAGGTCGAATGCTACTGCCATTGACTCACCCGCTCCTTGCGCACGTCAAAGCGCCGCTGCATCTGGCTGATGGGATTGAAGAAGCGTGATTCAGTGTGCAACGACCTGAGGGCTCTTTCGAATTCGTTGCAGTCGAATAGGGCGTCGCACTTCTCCAAGAGAATGTCCGCTGTACCCACCACATGGCCGTCCTTCTGCTTCTGGGTCAGCCACATCATTTTCTTGGCCCGAGTGGCGTCCATCAGGGCGGCCTCCGACTGGGCAATCGATCGCTGGCACCGACTGCGCAGGTAGAGCGTCTTGTAGTCGCTGCTGCAGAATCCCTGCTCGTTCTGACAGTTTCTTATGGCTCCGCGCATCTCGGGTCTGGGATACTTGCACGACTGTTGCCGTTGATTCTGTTGATCCTCCTTGCAGACGTCCAGAGCGTGGCCGAAGCTTTCGAGAGCCTTTTTGTTGCGCAAGCGGCGAGCGTAGTACGATCCCCAGTCCATGAAAAGTGACGACTGCACGCAGGATGGCCATTCAATGCGTTGCCATGGCTTAACCTCCGGTGGCAGGCTGCCGACACCTCCTGCTGCCGTTCCTCCTGCTGACCCGTGATCAGGTGAAACTGCCATTTGATGGTGGCAAATGCACGCGCTAAGAGTAAATTTATCATTGATCGGTGAATTTTGTCACATGGAAATTTGGCCAACAAGTGCAGAGCAAAATCTAAGCACGTAAATGTAACTGAAATCGAAAACGAATGGATGAAAGAACTGAGAATTTTGTCAGGTCCGGGGCCAGCCACCAATGCAATGCTTGCTTTGCTTCACTAAATACGAAAATGTATTTTTCGGCTCTATGTATGTACATATGTATGTTCTAAGACCCGGATCCAAACGGTACTCTCTCTCCCTCTATCTTTCTGAAATCTCCTTTTGTTGTCTACCTGCTGTTGCTCTCTTACAGTCAGACCACGCTCTCAGCATATAACGGAATTTGTATTTCACCGCTATATTTGCGTCTTTGCGTATTGATCCTCTTTCTTGACTCTGCAGTTCTATTACAATTTATGCTCAACGATTATAGCTGCGAATCTCACAACATATTCATTTCCATTTTCGATGCTAATGGGTTAATGCTTAGCCCTCCCACACCCCACACTGACTGCACAAGAAAGTGCTCGCAGCACTTTGAAGTTACAATGTTGCAATGGCTAAATTGGTGGGGAAAAGAGAAGCTTAGCGAAGCGAGGCAAAGCGTGGGGAAACCCCAAGAGAAGCAACCGAAATATGCAACAAACGAAAGGTGCAATTAAGGCAACAAACACCTGCCAAAAGCAGGCCATGAAAAACAATAACCCTCATAATCGGGAATTATTATATAACACTCTCTAGGCTGCTGCTGGCATTGCACTGCCTCTGGTACTGGTACTGTGACTGCCAGAAATTATTTAATTATTCGTGTTTCTTCCCCTGCGACTCCGTTGGGGGCAGGGTAGCATCTGGCTGGGCGATTATACGACAATTATTACAATATTTGTTTATAATTTTTAATTGCTTTTATTTTTCACATCATTCGCAAATGACTTTTGTTTTTTGGCTTTGTTTTCCGTTTCGTTTCGTTTCGTTTCGGGTTGTTTTTTTGTTGCTATTTAATTTCGTGGCTTCACTTTTTTGTCTTTATCTTTGCATAAGCGCGACGTGAATTCAATTCTGTGGATCATGGGGGGAGCTGGAGCCGCACTTATTTTACCCTAAAGGTGTTTGTGCCAGCGCCAGCGGCGTGGACAACTATTACTCTTCATTTGTATGCCAATGGGAGTGTGGGTGTCGCTTCCATTTCGTCGTCTTTTTGCGGAAAGAAAGCTCCCAGACGGAAAAAAAAGGTGCCGGCGGGGCAGCAAATGCAGCGGGACGCGGTACTAGCTGTGGGCAGCCGCCAATTAAATGGTTTTTTCTTTGTGCTTATATTATTTTGCAGAAGCGCAACAAGCGCGCAGAGTGTTGCAAAAAATGTGGCCAAAAACACGGGGAAATGTTGAGAAAACAGCGGACGCGATGGGCAGGCAGCTTTGCATTTAAATTAAATGTCGCATTGGCAGCAGCAGCGCAGTGGATATGGGAACCCAACAAACCCACTGGATATGGGAAACATACATACATACATACGCTGTTTGTGTGTTGGTGCTTTAACCTCCGGTCAAACTGTGGCGGACCACGCTTTGAAAGTCGTTTCTCTATAACAGTAGGGGAGCCACGGAGCAGGCACCTGTCATGAGCTCTATGTTCCACGCACAAAGGTCGATTGGGGAAAAATGGCAACAGCTCTTATACAAATATTTAAATACATAAATATGTAGGACATATGTACGTACACATATAAGCAGTGAACTGCAGCGGGGAGCAAAAACCAGCACTATGTTTCTACCTCAGCAAAATATAAATGTGCACTGCTTCGAATAAACTTTTATTTGGAAGCACACAGAATGAAAACCAATGAACGATATGAAACGCAACTGTTTTCCCTAATTCCCTATTCATTTATTTACAAATTAAGACTTTAAACGCAATTTTACCATTTTAACTAGAGGAAGAAAAAATCGAAAACCAACTTAACCCATGAGTTGTGCTGATCTATTAACATTACAAAAATATACGAGGAAACATAATGTACGCATAATTAATTATACAATTATCAAACTGCATGTGGCAAAGATTTTCTTTCACAGTTTTAGCGTCACTTGTTGCTGTGAGCGCCCGACCGAGCTCCTCTCTCGACACCGCTGGCCAATTAGCCAACCCGCATACGCCCTGTTGCATGCATAAACAGCAAAGAACAACAGCAAAGGACAGGCCCCATCCCAAGCTGTCAAAGTGTCCGTGTCCTTTGCTGACTTTGCATGTCCAGGTGCAAATTGGGTTCAGCCGGGTCGTCGGTTGAACGTTGACACTGTGTCAACTGAGAAAAACACACACCGGCAGCTGCACAGCATACAGAGCTCCGCTGCGAAGCCATCGGAAACTATCCGGAGTAGATAGTGGCGAGGGGGTGGCTGAAACTTATGAAGCAGAACCAATGAGGTGCCACCTGACAACGGAAGATATTGGGGTAATTGGCAGGAATACATATGTGCCCGGGCAGAGCACTCTGTGGGTACGGCGTCCCTGACCCAAAGAAGGCCTCAAGTTCGCACTAAGTCACAGTGGTGGCAGTGAATTTCAAAATTAGAGCAATGATTTTTTAATCTAAGGAAAGCACTTCATGGCATTGGAGCAGCAGGAATGATGTTAAACTTTTTAGCTGCTTTCTGCGATCTGCTTTGTGCTCCCGTCCGAATTCGCTCTCGCTCTCTACGTACTAACTGCGGTGATTGCCTCAGTTTTCTTGCCTCATGTTTTTGAATAACTTGTGCATAGTTTTGCTTGGTCGTTTTCCAGGAATTACTTAAAAGTGCCACGTCAAAGGTGCCAATAATAGGGCGGGCAACTGGTATCGAAGGATGGCATCCTTCTTCTCCGAACTCGCATTCTTCTCTGGCCAAAGTTGCTCGGTGTTTCTGCTCGGCTTTTGCCACAGTGGGGCTAGGGCGAGACTCGTATTAGGCAATCAGCTGATTGATTCTGAAGGCATCCACTTAATACTCCTGCAAGTACCTTCCAAGTACTCGTTGTAAGGCATTAGCTGTTGAGCAGCTGTCATATTTTACAGAAAGAATGTGTGAAATCAGTTGCTGCTGTCACACAATTCTCCCCTCGACTGTGTGCCGAGCCACTGAGTCTGCCGACCGACAAGCAGTGGAGGGGCGTGCGTCAAAGTGTTCATTGCACCACCACTGTGCCGATTCGGCTGGCAGTCATCGGGCGGCGGCTTCGTCCTCGTGGCCAGGCCAGCTCGACGCGGCCCTCGTGCGTGCAGCATCAGGCGGCGCCGCCTTCAGTTCACATTTTTCTCGACTTGTGGCAGGTCGCTGTCGCACGCCGAATCGCAAAGAAACGCGGCCCCAGTCAAACACACGAAGTCCGGCGGCGCCGTAGCGACGTGAAACTTCAGTTAAACATTTGAAAGTGCCAACGCCTCAGTGGCATCCATAGAATCCATCCCACTGGCACAGAGATCATTGCAGGAGTTGAGTGAGGTGAGTGAAGTGTTGAACTTGTTGTGCCACTGCTTGTCACAAGCCACTGCTTGTCACAAGCCACTGCTTGTAACGGTAGCATTATTCTGCTGCTGGCAGAATACCCTTGCAATCTCTGCCCAATTTATTATTGATAGGCCATGTGTCAAGTGTCCAGCACTTCTGCTATTTGTGTCCAAACAACGCTTTGCATAGGCCCGTGCCCAGCGTTTACGCTGTTGAAGTGCCATTAGCATGAATCTTTTATTTCATTACATTCATAGGGTGGCTTCGACCTCAGAGTGGAGATGATTTCCACACACACGCACACCCCCACGCGTACATATGACATATTTATGGGACCCTCGAGTGTGTTTTGCCCAAAAATTTGCTTTGTTTCAGTCTGCCAGTGGCGTTGCTCTGCAGGACGATGACTTTCTGTCACCAAATTGTTTTAATTTATCCAAGCACACGCTTGGCTGGTTCATTAACTGGATCATGTGGAGAGACACGGCTTAATCAGCCTCAAGCTTATGCAGCTCTAAATGTTATCAGGATTCAATTGTATGGATATTGTGGCCAGCAGTTGATACTTTTTGTTTTCAGCCTCGTTTCCGTTTTCCGTTTTCCGTCATTGCCATTATCCATATCATATGAGAAGACAATGAACATTTTCTCTCTAATCTCACTCGCTCCACATGTCGGATACTTTATATTTATGCCCCCCTCCCATCTCTCCGGCACGTCGATAGCAACGATGTGGCAGAGTGGCAAACGTTTCGTTAATCAAACGTGTGTGCAACGCTGCAATTTCCTGCCACCTGACAATGCTCCGACAGCTCCCCCCGACAGTGTTGCCTCTTCGGGGCACGCGACTGATTGGCTTCAATGCCTGATGCCAGGGCGCTGCATAATGCCGATCCAATCATCCATTGCAACCATCTAAACGCTGCAGAGGGTCGTTAGGTGGGCACTGGGATGACGTACACTTGCATATCATGAAAAATGCATGGCAGGTGCTGAGTGATTCGGGGCGCCATCAGTACGCCAGCCCCAGACAGAAGCAGGAGGAGCGCATCCATAATTCAGGCAGCAATGAACTGGAACAAACTGCAACTGCAAGTGTGCAATGTGCAGCAATCGCAGAGGGTAACAGCTGGCTTAGAGTTTGGCACTGTTAAATAAAACATTCATTCAGTGGGTGCAGTGCAAGTTTTTGGTGCAAACAGAAGCAGCAATCGACATTAAGTTGTCTGCGAATCACAATTGTCTGAAGAGCAGCAGCAGCAGCAGCAGCAGCACTTCCCAGCATGGGACCCTAAAGACGTGCAACAGTTAACAGTCCGATGGATAATTTAATTGGCTTAGCTTGAGCTCTGAGCTTGGGCCACTCAGCTTTCAGCCCCAAGCTTAGGCGTTACAGCGATGACAACCGGCGAGGAGGAGCGTTAACCTAGCAATGGCCGGAGGTTTTGTCGCTAAAAAGCATCGTAAAACGCGGCGTATCAAATTATCGTTAGATTTATTGCCCGCCAGCGAGGCAGTTGCTCCCAATTCTGAGGGCTTTTCGTTTTTACAATTTTATGAGAGCCACCAGCCCAAAAAAAGGGACAACATAAAACAGCAAAAAATAAACAAAACAAAGTATGAACCCGCAATGACAGAAAGATTGCATAGCTTTCGATGTATGTGTTTCTAGGGGGAAAAAGGCAATACCCAATAGCCTCCAGTCTCCAGCTATATCCTCGACATTCCAGCCAACTAAATATTTGTTTTGATTCCTCTCCTCTTTTCCATAAACATGAAAGTTTTTGCTCTTAATAGTTTTGCAGAATGCTCCTAAAAGTGGGTTGCAATTTGGCCACCATTCAACGATCTGAGGGGCCGAGCCGAGCTCTCTGAGTGGCACGACTGATGATACTTGAACGAGCAAACGTAGCAATTCCTTTTGGGTTATTAAATTCGCATTCGTCTCAAATGCTGCTCGCAGCAGGATGAAAATGTTGCTGAGCAAATGCTGAGAAATTAATTCAAAAAAATGTGCTTCTGCTTACTCTCTGCTCGACTGACAATGAGTTAGTGTTGAATGAGTTAGTTCCATCAATTGTTAGACACTCTAAGGTAGTCGAAGGCAGCTCTTCAATTAGAATTAAGGGAATATTTTTGAGCAACAAAAGCAGACTTATGTAGTCTCAAACGTATAACTGCCATCCATCATCCATCAACCATTCTTTTCAAAGTAAAATCATTTCCCTCTTCCAGCCCGAAAGTAGACTTGAGTCTCACTTGATTTAGTTGCGGCTTTTCAATGGTGCAAAGCGTGGAAAGAGTGCGAAGGAATTGACAATTTGTATTAATGAATGTAAAAGAACAGCGCAGCAAATATTTTGCCAGTATGTAAGCTCCATCCAATTTTAAAATGATGATTCAGAACTAAATTCACATGAGTTTTCTGTGTGTAAACACTTAGACTTTAGCCTAATATTTTGCCATTGAGTTTCTGATTTATCAGCGTTAATTCTACATTTTTCTCTGAGGCAGCCGCCAGATTATAATATTCCCATAAATGTAAGAGAAAGTACCACTAAATATGGATTTATTGCTTCCTTTGGTTTATATAATTTCTATTTATAATTACGCATTTTCCATTAGTCTGTTGCGCATAAATCTGTGAAATTGACGTGCATCTCCACCACAGTTTTCAGTTGATTTAAATGTAAGTCATTCGTGGCTTGTTTTCAGCGAAATTGTGTACAAGGATACCCAGAGCTACCCAGAAAGAATGCGTCTCATCTACCCGCTTGATTTTTGCCTTTGGATTGCACAGAATGGATGTGCTTTGTGCAAGGAGAGCGACTGGCAGAAGGCAGCAGCCAACATGCTTATCCATTATGCCATAAGCTAGGAGGATGGTGGAGCAGCAGCAGCAACAGGCGGAATATTGTATGTCCTGGCGTGTCTCCCAGGCAACCTGGGCCCCAGCCTTGGCGCTCGTTCTTAAGCCCATCAAAACTTGAACAGACAACGTCGAGTTTTATAAAATTCATTAAGCATTTTAAATATGCACGAACATCATTTTGGGCAAGGACACGCTGTGGCAGCCGCTTACTGGCCTTACTGACTAATTGAAAGAGAAGTCCCATCCCCTGACCCACAGGGCTATTTCATTCCATGTCTTTAGTTCGCAATCTCTTCGAATCCATATATTTGGTCAAATCAAAAGTGGTGTACACCGAAAGAAAAGATGAAAACATAATTCATTGGTTGAACAGACGAAGGTTCGATGTTGCTCCTGCTTGTTGCTGGCAAAAGTTTCAGCTCTTTGCTTGTTTTTCCATTTCCCACCAGTTTTCCCACTCGAACTGTTGTTTCCACTTGTTGAAATTTGTTAATTTATGATGATTGCGTAAAGAAAAGTTCGCACTGGCGGTGGCAAAGTTTCCTTTGCCATTTTGGGTGCACTGAACATAAATAAAAATAAATTCTGAAATAGGAAAAGTGTTTCAACAAAATAAAATACAAATATGTATAGGGATCAGAGTAGATCCAGATGATCGAGACAGCACTTTGTTTCACAACAAAACGCTTTTCCCTTTGCTCTGTGACTCCTCCAACTTGACCCAAGTCCTGATTGCATTTGGCAACCATTTTTGTGTAGCGCTTGTAAAATTAAATTACATTTTGAACAGTGTATGCCCAAAGGAGGAACGCTGATCGTTGTTTATCAAGTGTTCTGGGGGGTGGAAAATGTTCACATTTTCAGAGTTTTCAATTTATTGCGAATCGACACGCTTCGGTCTGGCAATTGGGTTGTGTGGCCTCTTACGAGTTGTTTCCAGATAACCAAATGCAGCGAATACTGCCAAAACGAACCCACAAATGTTGGTTCTCTACAACCTTCACTGTAGATACTTTCCGGCAGCCTTTATTTATTTCGCTTAGCAACTTTTTAGGTATGTTCAATGCCGGTGGCTCTATAAACACTTGCAACAACAATAATGGAATGCCACGCAACCAGAGAGAGAGGCAGGAGGGTGGAGGCAAAAAGTTATAAGTTTGGAGGCATCTGTGCAGAAACATGCAGATAATGCAAAACAAAACATTGCAAACGCCACGGGAAAGAGGGGCAAACGGGGTATGTGGGATTTGTGGGGTTTGCGGGTTGGTAAAAGTGCTGCCTCCACTTCGTGGACAATGTGGAGGTTAGTGTGGCTGGGCGGTGGAGCAGTTTCTAGACAGCTTTGTTAGCACTTGAGACGCCATCAAAGAGGACACACAGCAACAGCAACAGCAAACAGCAACAAGCGTTGCAGCTGAGTGCCGAAGGACAACTGGCAATGTGCGGCATAAAGGTTCAAAAAAGCTGGTACAAAAATCCAAAAGTGAGAGCAGATTGAGCGCAGTTAGGAATATTTTTGTGTACACTCATTTGAATGCGGTTTCGTTAATTCATGGGTTTACAATCGCATCAATTACTTGGATAAGTGATACACTCAAGTGCAAATTTCTATATAATAAATGCATACATTTGTCAAGCCTTTCAGCTTTTTTTTCGCTCAACAAAAATAAAATAAATTGCATTGATTAATTTTAAACTTTTACTTTTTCACGCTTTCATTTCCACGTGGTTTACCGCTTTTGTTAAAACAAATAATTAGCAGATTTTCACCACATGATCTCATGTATTAAAATACATTAAGAGAAATGCCAATTTATGCAAATGAAATGCACATTTTTTGCCGCTTTGATTGCAGTTTTCAAACGAGGCAATTGTAACATGGATTGAAATTAATTGAAATAAAATACTTTCAATGGCATTCATGTGAAATATAAATAAATAAAATCACAGTCACAGTAATCGAGACGAAATAGTCCCTGCTCTCAATACCTTAAAGCCTCTGCCTTGAACGTCTGCTCCTGATGCACGTAGCTGGCATATGCCACAGAAATGTGCCCCAAAAAACGAACATGCTCTGCTGGCATTTTGTCCACGACATGTATGAGAATTGTGGCCAAAAAAA